TGCTCCCTTTAATATTGTGCATTCTGATGTGTGGGTCCCTCTCCGATAACCTCCAAGTCAGGAGCTAACTATTATGTTTCATTCATTGATGATTACACTCGTTATACGTGGGTTTATTTTATGAAGCGCATGTCTGACTTTTTCACCATATATAGTGAATTCAAAGCTATTGTCAAGACTCAACACTCTGATATCATAAAATGTTTTCGGTGTGATCTGGGAGGAAAATTTACCTCCAATGATTTTAATAAATTATTGGCATCTGATGGCACTATACATCAATCATCTTGTACAGACACTCCTCAGCAGAATGGTGTTGCAGAAAGAAAACATCGACATCTTCTAGAAACTGCTAGATCCTTACTACTCTCTGCTCAAGTTCCCAATATGTTTTGGGGAGAATTTGTTCATATTGCTACTTATGTTATTAATCGCATTCCTACTGAGTACACTTTGGGGAAGTCTCCTTATGAAATGTTGTTTGGACAACTCTCGGATTATTCTTCATTACGAGTGTTTTGTCTTGAAGCCTTTGTCTTGAAGCCTCATGTAGAGAGAGATAAGTTGTCTTCAAAATTAGCTCTTTGTGTTTTTCTGGGATATGGTATTGGTCAGAAAGGTTATCGGTGCTATGATCCTTCAAATCAGAAACTGTATGTATCTCGCAATGTCACCTTTTTGGAGCATATTCCATTCTATATCATTCATGTTCAGTCACATGATGCAACCCAAGAGGAGCTTCGTACTATTGATTTATTTAGCATTGACATTGATGATCCACCACATGTCACTGATCCACCACATGTGGCTGATCCAGCACCTATCGTTGATCCTCTGCCTGCAAATCATCAAGACTCGCCTCCATCGAGACCTTATCGTAATAAGAAGTCCAAAAATCTTCATGAATTTGTCTATTCCTCTTACTTAGCGGCTTTTGCCTCTTTTATTGCTAATGTACATCGTCTCTCTGAGCCAACATCCTATAAAGAGGCCATTTCTGATCCCCTTTGGCAGACCGCTATGGCTGAGGAACTTGCAGCTCTTTATCAGACTCATACATGGGATCTGTTTCCGCTTCCACCTGGAAAACACACGATTGGTTGTCGTTGGGTTTATAAAATCAAAACAAAGTCTAATGGGTCCGTTGAGCGTTATAAAGCCAAACTTGTTGCGAAAGGGTACGCACAAAAGTATGGTATGGATTATGAGGAGACGTTTGCTCCTGTTGCAAAAATGACGACTATTCGCACCTTGATTGCAGTTTCTTCCATTCGCCAATGGAAGATTTATCAAATGGATTTCAAGAATGCTTTCTTGAATGGTGATCTTCATGAAGAAGTATACATGTCTCCTCCCCCTGGTATTGCTCACCGACCATGTGAAGTTTGTCAACTTCGGAAGGCTCTATATGGCCTCAAACAAGCCCTTCATGCTTGGTTTGAGAAATTTTCTACGGTGATTTGCTTCTCTTGGTTTTCAACCAAGTAACCATGATTCGGCTCTATTTATTCGATGTACGAATGCAGGTCGGATTATTCTTTCCTTATATGTCGATGACATGATTATTAGTGGTGATGATCATGATGGTATAGAGTCTTTAAAGTGTGATTTGGTTCACCATTTTGCTATGAAAGACTTGGGATTACTTCATTATTTATTAGGGATTGAAGTTGCTCAATCTCCAAATGGTTATCTTTTATCTCAAACGAAGTATATTTCAGATTTGTTTGAACGTGCACGACGCACGGATAATCGAACAATTGATATGCCTACAGAGAGTAATGTAAAGTACTCTCCAACTAATGGTGTCCCATTATCAGATCCAAGTCTTTATCATACCATTGTTGGGAGTTTGGTTTACCTGACTGTCACTAGACCGGATATTGCTCATGCAGTTCATGTGGTTAGCTAGTTTGTCACTGCTCCTACTACTGTTCATTAGGGAGTTGTTCTTCGTATTTTGAGATATTTACGTGGTACTCAATTCCACACTCTTATGTTTCCTTCTTCATCCTCTCTTAAGTTGCATGCCTATAATGATGCAAATTAGGATAGTGATATTTATTATCGTAAGTCCACTACTGGGTATTGTGTTTTTCTTGGAGATTCATTGATATCATGGAAAAGCAAGAAACAAGATGTTGTTTCTCGATCTTCTACAGAATATGAGTATCGAGCCATGGCTATTGCCACCTGTGAGATTGTTTGGTTGAGATGGCTTCTTGCAGATATGGGTGTTCACATCTCTCAGCCTACCCCTTTGTATTGTGATAGCGAGAGTGCGATAATGATTGCCAAGAATTCAGTGTTTCATGAGCGCACAAAGCACATTGAGATTGGTTGTCATTTCACACGTCATCATCTCCAGAAGGTCACTATCTCCCTTCCTTATGTTCCTTCCTCTTTGCAGATTGCTGATATTCTTACGAAGCCGTTGACTGTTCCTCGATTTCATTTTCTGTCTGATAAACTCTCAATGCTTATTGCTCTTGCATTGTGAATTTGAAGGGGGATGTTAGCCTAATAAGATTTTGGGCTTTATTTTCTATTGGATTTTATGATTGAGCCTTTTCGCTAGGAAACCCTAATTAGCTTGTCTATATATTATGTCTTCCCTTTTCATTGTATTTGCACTTCTCTTTGATAATAATATGAAACCCTAGCCGTTATATGTATTTCACTTGTTAGTTTACAAAAAGAACATAGAGAGTTTGAAATAACAAACAAACAATATAAGAGTATTTAGTCCACATTTTCATTCCTAAAAATTAACAACAATTGTATTTCGTTTGTTTATAATAAAAAGAGATATGTTGTGTTTATAAATGATTTTTTAATAATTATATATTTTGGTTAATCTTTAAAAAACTCATAATTTTTGGTTATAGATTAAAAATAAGGTATTTTTCTGAAAAATTCTCATTTCTATGAAATTAGCGGGAAAAAAAACAGGATATCATTAAATCTGTAAAACCAACAAAAAGTGGTTATTCCAGAGTTACGTCTTTTTTGTAAATAATTTATTTGAAATTAAACACTAAAGGGCTGTTTGGTAAGATCTGAAAATTTAAGATCTGAATTTTTAAGATGTCTGAATTTCTAAGAGGGTCTAAATTTTTAAGATTTGAATTTTTCAATATTGGTTGGTTGGAACTTCTAAATTATTGTGCTGAGTTATGAAAATGACCAGTTTACCCTTTTATATTATTTTTTGCTGAATAATAATAAAAAAAAGTTAAGCACCATACAAAATTCAAATTAATATAAATCAAAATTTATCTTCATTAATCTGTAATTATCTTTTGAGATCAATTTACAAAAATAACAATCATTTTTTGTATGTCCCAAGGGTTTCAAAGTTAAAATACATCATTTTTGACACTGAAGGTCAAAATCTTTCCCACCGAGTTATGAGCTTTGATCTTTTAAGATGGGGTATACTTTAATTTCAGCTTTGAGTCTTCAATATATTTGTATCCAACTAGTGAACCAAAAACTTTCTACTTCCTGCACACTTAAGAAACTACCAAACAATTTATCACTCTTTTATCAACAAAAAATTAACCAAAACTTTTAAGCACAAATCAATATAAATCATCCATTTAAGCAAGAAATTGCCAATTAGCAACAGGTACACAATTTAATAATCAAAGTTCCTAACAAAAATTTCAAAATCCAAGTTCATAATTGTTTCAAGTATCAAGATTTCAGCATCAGGTTATCAAACAGATCGATCAGATTTCAAGAATCACCCACCTTAAACATTTTAAGAAACTGAAATTGATGCTTCTAATAACACCTTTATCATAATTTATACATATATTACAACACTTAAAACCCAATCCAAATCTGTTAGAAGCAAAACATTCAAGAAAAAACAAATTCAAACCTTTATAATTAGATTTCTGATTTCACCATTTCAATAGTTTGAAACCACATATGAATTCAGAAGAAAAAAAAAACATAAGAAAATCACGAATTCAACATCAGATTGCAAACCACACATGAATTAAGAGATAAAGGAAAAGAAAAAAAAACAAATTTTCTATAAAAACAGGAAAAAAAATTAAGTTTCAAGGGGAACACAACAGATGGAGCAGAGGTGCTTGTGTGCATTGATGAGAAGAGAGAATCGGAGGAGGCGTGAGTTTGAGGAGAAAAAAAATCGATTCATTGACCAATTCATTCATAAAAAAAGAAAAAAAAATGAGTTTCGGGGATAAAGAAGGAAGAAGAACGAACCTGGATTGTCGGAGTTAAAGGAGGCACTGTTGCATGTTGCAGGTGTCAGAGAAGAAGGCGGCGACGTCGGAGGCGGCAGTGTTGGGGTACGGCGGCGTCGTCACAGGTGGTTGATTATTGGAGATCAGTGAGGGAGAAGAAGCGGGTGAGACAGAGGAGAAGGGGGCGAGAAAGAGAGTACGCGTTTTGGGGTTAAGGGCATAGGGTGTCTTTTATTTTTTCAGATGGAGTTTCAAATCTGATTCGGTAAGTGTTAAAATTCAGATTCAGACCAAAACTTATAGGTAAACAAACAGTTTGAATCTTCATATCTTAAAGATTCAGATATACCCCTTATTAAGAGGTATTCTATTAAGAGGTATTAAGAAGGAAACAAATAGGCACTAAACCGACAAAAATATTGAAATTTCATGGAAATTTCCTTATCAAAACTAAGAAAAAACTCAAAAATTATAAATTACTAAATTTAGAATTAAAAGTGAAAAAGTAAACACACTCACTCCGATGATGTTTTGCTTGATTCACAGACTTATCGAAGGGGATGGTTGATGGTTTGTAATCTTCACTCTTAAGCGACTAGGGTTACTATTATTGTATGTTCAGCTGTCCAAATTTTGTTTATTTCTTTATTTAATCTTTGTAGGCATTATGGTTATTCTGTTTTTCTGAACTTCGGACTTAGGGTTTGTTGGAACGTAGTGATTGTTAACTTCCTTGATGAAGGAAGCCATGTCGAGAATGTTAAAGTGATTAAAAAGATGGCTCTCGTAACTGATTTTGCTAAGGAGCTAGACAATAACAGAAAAAGATGCCTAGAACTAGAAAAAAAGAGCATAATGGATGAAATCAGGTGCTTGATTTTGAAAGCTGAGGTCGAAAACTTAAAGAAAAGGAACAAGGAACTTGAGGAGCAGATCGCAAGGTTTCAGAAGGTCATGATCAATGAAGAAAAGGGGAAAATGACGATAATTGATCTAACAGGTGAAGAAAACGAAAAAGATGAGTTTCTTCGGTTAACGATCAAAAACAAGGTTTTGGAACGTGAGAAAGCAAAAGCTGAAATTGAGATTCGTTTATGGAAGGAAAAGGTCAAACAATTGGTGTCACAAGTTTGTGAATTGGAGTCAAAGCTGAACATGAAGGGCATGAATGAAAATTGTAGCAAAGTTAAAAAGCGATTACCATTTGAAGAAGATGGAAGCTTCAATAAGAACATTGCTCCATCAACTCCAGGTTTTGCCCCTCCCCTTTCTTCTGTAATTATCGATATTAGTGATGAAGATGTAAGTTACGATGATCAGATCCCAAAAGTTCAAAATCTTTCTAATTCAATCTTGACGAACACTGATGAAGATGATACGGATTGTTCTAAACTGCATTCTCAAGTTTCTACAAAAAGAACAAGATCTTGCAGAATAGTTACAAGCGATGATGAAACAAGTACTGATGATGATGATAATGCTCCAATTTGCTCACTTATAAAGAAAGTTAAAGAAGATGAAAGTAAGAGGCTGAGAAAATTAGATGACATCATTCTTGATTCTGAAAATGATGATGAATATGAAGATGGATCAAATGAATTTAAAGTAAATTTAAACAAGATTAGAAGCAAAAAGGATTTGAATTTGAAGTGGGATTTAGAGGGAGATATGTTAGATGATTTTGGGAAGGATCCTGAATTGTGTATGAAGGCTGTTTGTGTTCTTCATAGACAACAAAATGCAAGAGGGTTTAGTCAGACTGATGTATTAAGGTGAGTTTATTTATTTTTTAACAAAGATTGATAATTTATAATTTATAATTTATATTGTATCTAGGGCTAATAAGGTCGCTGAATTTTTGACTGATGGAGATTCAAGTGGTGATTTGAACAAAACAGTTGAAGAGTTGAGAAGATATGACACAAAAGGGATTGAATTATGCATGACACTTGCAGTTAAATATTCAAATCAGTTGTTTGAGATTTACAAGAACAAAGAAGATCCGTTTTTCATGCCTTAATTACAAAATAGGTGAATCTGTTTAATTTTCACTTGTTTATTCGGTTAATATTATCATATCTAGCACTAAATGTTTTGATAGATAATGTCGTTTTTAATTTTGGTTAAACCTGCAAAAAAAGTTACAAATCTTTTATAGGTAAGTATGTAGAAAATATATAATTACTTGTCAGGGTTTTCTTTAAAATACATTAAGAAAACAAAAAACACATGCCTTGTGAGCCAATAAATACCATCAATTTTGTTTACAATGATTTTATTTTTTCGAGAAAGGAGAATGTTGCATATTGGATTCAATTTGTATGAACAACGAACAATGTTCCATTGGGCCCAAAATAAATCCAAATTTTAGAGATTTTTCAAGTAACCATTCTTTGTCCGATAATCGTTGATTTGTCCAAGTGGTTAGTTTGATTGTAATATGTAATCCATCTTAGAGTAAAAATGATACCTATATCAGTTTTCATGTTGAAATCATTATGTTTAAATCTTAGAACTAGAGCAATTGAATTTATTTCTTATTAAAATACTTCCTTTTATAAGATTTAAAAAAATAAATAAATAAATAAGGAACGACTACAAGATTGTGTTATGGGAAAATATTTGTAAAGAGCTAAAATATCAGAGACTGGTTTCGATCCAGTGACCTGTGGGTTATGGGCCCACCACGCTTCCACTGCGCCACTCTGATTTTTGTTTAATTTTGTTAAATATATTATATTAAGTATTGTATTATGAAGAATTAAATGTTCAGGTTATATCAGAATTTAAAAACAAACGCATTTATTGAATATCAAATAATCAAATTAACGATCACAGTCACAGGTAGCAAAATCAAACCCAATCAAACTGGACTGAAACCGTTGGGCTGATTTGGGTTCAAGCCCAAATGTTACAATTTACAACTTACAAACATTAATTAAACCTTCTCATGTTAAAAATAATATTAATATAAATATAAATATGTTTATTTTGTTCAATAAGTGTAATTTCGAGCTTCAGAATTTGGTTTTTGGTTTTTGTTTTTAGGGTTTTGGAAGTTCTTAGCCTAATATTAGACGCACTTTGTTTTTATGGTATTAGAGGTGAGCAAAGCGGATAAATAACCCAATTCTTATCGGTTTTTTTCTTCCAAGTTCCAACAAGAAGTCAAGAACAAATAGGTTTTGGGTAAAACAGGATCAGATTGAAATAGGTTTTGATCCAATAATAAAGAGTAGATTTATATAACCATTTACAGAGAGGACAGGAACCGGTTTGAAAGATGTATTATTTTTGAACTTTATAAAATGCAAAAAATGACATCAAATAGAAATAGTAAAAATGATTAGTTATCGCTTAATAGTCAAGTTACTAAATTTAGCTACGGGTCATTGTGTAGATAATTGGAAATTCTGTGTGTTTTTTTCATCAAACCAAAAATTTGAAATTCGGTTATAATCATATGCACTAGACAATTATTTCCAATATAAATTTCAAATTTGATACTTAAGTTGTTACCAAGCTATGTTTGAACCTTATTTCTTACATAAACATCAGATTGTATTTGTTAAAATATTATTAAATTTACCTTTTCGTTTTTGGAAAATTTAGAGAAATCAAATTTACTTCTATTTTTTTTCCTACAATCTTCTTACACACTTAACGTTATAACACTTGTCAGAATTAATAAAATTAATAATTTTGTATTACATTTGTCATCATCTAAAAATGATAGAACGATAGATAGAAAGAAAAAGTAAGACGATATTATATTTCTCGCAAATTAATGATGTGGTCATGTAAACTCAAACCATAGTCTATATATTCAATTAAAACTTTTAGCTTGCAAACACTTATAATCGGCTTTAAATTGATAAAAACTAAATTTATTACCCTATAAATCAAAATAGTAGTAGATTTTCAATTAGGGATCAAACGTGCAATTTTAACCAAACCACAGGAACGATTTCAGTAATTTACTCTATATTTTATTTTTATTTGTACCCCATCCTTGCCATTACTCTAACATATTATCAAAAGAATTCAAAAATATTATATTTTGTCATTTAATATTTGGTAATCGTGTCAAGATGTCCAAATATCGCATGTTAATTTACTTCATATTCCAATTTTTTCAAGACCTTGAATCATTTCACTTTTCGCTGTATCCCAAGAGTAATAAAAGACTTACATGACAATAACATGGTTGAATGGTTGTTTGGATGAACTTCGTTAATCATTAATCGTAGGTTATGAAAGTGGTCAAATGACAAACTTTTTTTAAATCAGGACTTCACCATCATTTCTTGAACCAATTAGGGCTCCTATGTCCAAATGTTGCATTGTGAGGTCATTGTTGCTTGAATAAAGTACGTGCCATATTTCACTCCTTTAAATGATATACTTGTGTGGATTCCAATGTGGTATATTCCCTAATTCTAATTCAAATAATTTAGTCGATGTAGCCAAATATTCGGATTTCATTTCATAGGCACTACTTTCACATAGTTATATTGTACCTTGTCAATGCTCCATTTACAGAAGATTGCAACGTGGCATTTATTCATGTCATTTTCTGAAACAAGAAAATTTGAAGAATCGAGAATATGAAATAAGAAATATAACGAGAATACCTCATAATCATAAACTAGAATATGAATGTATTACGAATTTTGAGAAAGGAAGTAAACAAAAGCAAGCCACCGATGGTTGATTTTGCGAGATATAATCGATTAGACTACACTATTTAATATTTAAAAAACAAATAAATTTATCATTTCTTCAAATTTAAAATTTTATGCAAGGTTATTCGGTATGACTTTTGAATTTTGAGATAAAAAATCGTCATTTATGTAACATTTCTTTGTTATGGGAATCTCAAATCTGAATTGATGTAATGCCATGACTTCTCATGTTTCAGCAACCATAAACAAATAATTATTCATTCAACCCAATGAACAGACAATTAATGATCTGCAAACAACTAAAAGCTCAGAAATTATGGAATCAAATTTTCAACTAGATCAAGGTCCTCCAAGTATAGCATTCTCGATATCTTCTCTGCTTAATGCATAACTGAATCTTCTCTCCATATCTTTATCCAGATTTCCAGGCCCACTCTTTAGATACCTGCGATTAACGTATTGATCATATGAACATCAAGAACATCAAATGATATGTTGAATACTCAAATGAAATCTATAGATATCGATGACCAATACCAAAGATTGGATTTGAACTCGTCTGGATTACGAAAGCTTAGACATTTTACAATTAAACCCATAAATAATTATGAATTAGAAAGTTGCTACGAAAGAAACGAATTTCATCGGAAACCCAGAGGAATTATTCGTTATCAACTGTAAACAAGCTCAATTAGGCAAACAGTGAAATGGAGGTGATTAAGAAGATACCTGATATAAAGGTCTGTGACATCAAGAGAGAGCTTCGCATGCCAATCTGGTTTTTCAATAAACCAAACAGCTCTATCGTCGTTGCTCTGAAAAAACCCTAATTGCTTCAACCACGCCTCGACGCAAGGTAAGCTGTGTGAGTATAATGGCTTCTTCTTGTCGGGTAAACTCTTGAGCCACTCGTCTTGAGTTGCGGATTTAGAAATAATTAGGGTTCTTTTGTTTGTTCTGGCTCTTCTGTGTGTTGAAAAATTAGAACATGGAAATGAATTTGGGGAAATTGAATTGGGGAAACTTGGAGAAAATAAAGAAGATAGATTGAAGTTTCTTGAGTTGAGTTTAGTTAAACAACAATAAGAGATTGAGGAAACCATTAAAGTTTCCATCTTTATTGCAAAATAAAGAAAAAACGAACTTCTTGTTTAATGGAGATTTGCAGATAACGATGATGAAGGGCAAGAAAGACGGGCTAAGGAACTACGTCGTATCAGTGTAAGTTGTGTTTTGAGGATAAGGGGTTACGGATATAAAAACAACTATTATACACTTGGTAAAAGAGTTTTATAATCAAAGATAATATTAAATCATCACATAAATTCGTAATGTACTTGACATAAATTCATATATACTTAAAAATAAATGCAATGTCTAAAAAACAACTCGCTTAAATCGATATTTTAATAAAATATTAACACGATATTATTATTTAGAGTCAAATTTATTAATTACTTTGCACAAAATAGCAAAAAATTAGCAAATTACTTAATTTTTGCTCTAAAATCGTAGGTAATTAGGACCATCTATGAAATCGAAATTCCATCTGCGAACGTATAAATCATTTACATATGGATTTCATGAGAGTTTGACAAGGTCTGCAATTTTGTTCTCCCATTATTATTATTATTATTATTATTATTATTTTGCAAAACCTTTATTTTTCCATCTTCGAACTTGAGAAAACTCTCTCAAACCAATTAAATATTCGTTCATTTTAGTATAGAGAACCTAAACAATATTTCTAAAGAAATAACTAGTAAGCTAAGCTTTTTTGCAAATTTTTATATAAAATCTACCCATTTGTACGAATGCATAGTCAACAATTCCAGATTGCATAGTCAACCTTACCAAATTCATAGTCAAACCTAAGTATTGATAAAATAAATTTCAAAAAAATGGCATATCGCAGATTGAACAAAACTCAGATTCGATTTGGGATAAGAGCATATCATAGATGGAACAAAATCATCGTAAAATCGCATATGAGATTAGAGCATATCGCATATGGAACAAAATCCATATGTGATTTTGTGGAATAAATTTCGAAAAAATGACTTTTATATAACCTTCGGCAAATAGCAGATAAATATTGAAGGAATAATAGATGGACTCACCAAATAGGAGATTAACCTCATCAAATAATAGATGAAATGCCGAAATCACAGATGTGATCTAACCATCTACGATTGTAGTGGCTATTTTGCGTATATTGTTTTTGTAGGCTATTATAAACAAAATAATTAGCAAATTTGGTTAAATTAACAAAATTCTCTTATTTAAATATAATTATATTGAGTTTTCATATATATATATATATATATATATATATATATATATATATATATATATATATATATATATATATATATATCATGTTTATAAAATTTAAAGTATTATAAATTTAATATTTTATAAAAAATATTATTAAGTGTTAGTTAAAATAAATTACTTAACATATACATAAAAAGTGTTTAAATTTTGATATAATTAAATTGATTAAATGAAATAGTATTGAATAAAAAGATAAAAAAAAATTAGAAACAAAATAAGAAATTAAAAATAAAATTATAACAAGCAAGTTATATAATATATTAAAAAAAATGTCCCCTTACGAATAGTAAAGTTGTATTTTTTTTTTTTTTTTTTTTTTGTTATTTTTATCCTTTAATTTTTGAATTAAAACTTTTACATTTTTTAGGAACCTTTAATATTCAAAGTTTGGTCACAACACTTTAAAGAATTGACAAATTTGGTTCTTTTTGTAAAAACTTGCAAATTTCAACCCCTTTAATTCTGTAGTCATTTTGATATTTTTGGTCCTTATAGTCAAATATTTTATATTATTTCATAAAAAGCACAAAAAACAGTCTGGACGTGGACGAAGCCTGAGTTTTTCCGCTAGTTAAAGAGTATACAGTGAAAAATATACACTAAATGATAAAATAATATTTTATCATAATTTAAGATAATTAAAATATAATGACAATCTTAAACAATGATAATCAAAACTATTAAAGATTAACACCAAAAAGCAGCTATAATTGTATTGATATTGAAAACATAATTAGAGTAAGTGGAAAAATAAGAATATATTAGCTTGATCGGAAAACAAGGAGCAACACTAGATTCTATTAAGAAACATTTGATTGTGATTTTTAGAGACGTTGAGTGTGGCAAACGCAGAAAGTTTGAATATTAATGACATTAATTTTTTTTTTTGAATAAATCTAAATTAGTAGTTCATTCGTATTTTAAGACGTTGCATTTAATAAGAAAAAATTACATTAGGTGTCAGAATCAGAGTAGTGGCCCGGTACCCCCAGGCTCCACTAATATCTGCTACTGGTTGTTGGTCCTGTTTTTTGAAGTAGTTGGGAAATTGTATCTGTTCTTTCATCTTTACAATCATTGTTGTTTTTAGATTTTATAATTGTTTATTTTAATTTGGATTTTGTATATTTTATATAACTATTCATCATTTTTATTCAAATATTTTATCATATATATATATATATATATATATATATATATATATATATATATTATTCGGCACAAAACAATTAATAAAGATAAAATTGTCATTTCAGTTATCAGTACAGTCAATCAGATTTGTAATCAAACAACATGATTCAGTCAAAAACAGATATAGTCAAAGTTTCAGACACAATTAGACATTGATTCAGACTGATTAGATCAACAACTATCAAATAGTTCTTAAGTATAAGGGTGGACTTATGTGGTGTCAGGGGGTCTCGGGCCACCACTCCAATTTCGATAGTTAGTGTATTTTTTTTTTCTTATTAGGTGTAACGACTTGAAATATGAATATTGCTATTATTTTAGATTTGTTTGGAAAAAAAATTCTGTGTCACCACTACTATAACGTTCTGCTGACACTGCATTAGTGATCAAGAAAATAAGCAAATATACTATATACACTAATTGTTTTAAATAGATAAAAAAAACAAATATAAGCTATAAAAACTTCTAGCTTAAGTTTATATTGTTTTACCATTAAACAAGTAAAATATAGGATATTTTGGTCATTTAGGTTGGATTTGATGTAAACAAAGCATATTTGAAAGCAATATCGTTCGTCCTCTCGTGTTATTTTTTAATAAGTATGTCTAACAACTTTTACATGTATTTTGGATGGTAAGTTCTTCTTTGATGTTTTAATGGATTATATCATTATTACTAGGTATGTAACCTATCTATTACATGAGTTTATATAAAAGAAAAAACAAAATATAAAATTCTAAAAATTTGAGAAGTTTGAATTTCTAAATAAAATAAGAAAAATATTGAATTATAAAAATTAAAGTGTTTTGTTTTCTTCTAAATTTAAACAAATAATTTAGATAAATAAATAAAGGAAATTAATAAAGCTTTAATTTAGTAATTTTGAAATTAAAAGTAAGTTTATTAAGGAAATTAATATGTATTTATTATTGTACTAGTTTATAACCCGTGAGAACCACAGTTATAAAATTAATTAAAATTTTATATTAAAATATCAAAATTATTAATCAATTATTTTAAATAAATTATTACTTAAGATATATATTTTTTTAATTATATAAAAGTATAATATTTGATTTAAATAAATACGTGAAGTTATATCACCTTAAAATTTATATTTATTTTATTTTATTTTATTATCTAATGTTATTAATTTAATATAATTAGAGTGAGAAAATTTAAACTTTAAAATGAAAAATCAATTATTAATTTAATGTAAGTAGAGTGAGAAATTTAAATTTTGAAATAGATAATTAATATGTTAACAAGTGGCATGATAAGTAACATATAATATTAATGAGAAGTTCTAATAACATGATATTTGTCAATAGAAGAATAAACCTATTATTTTATCAGAACAAACGATTTAAATACTAAATCAAAATAACTACAAAATAATATATGAAATAAAAATGAATTCAAAATAACATATTTAACAAATTAAATAAAAGTATGATAAATGAGGGAAAAAAATATTTATTCATTAGAATCGATTATTATTATTATTATTATTATTATTATTATTATGTGTTTTGAATAAGACAGAACTATTAAATAAAATAAAAACGTGTAAATTATTGCTCGCTTCTTGATTAAATAACAAAAATAAGGGAAGCTGCAATTGCGTGAAGCACATTTTCATTTTCTTCCGCTCTGTTTGAAAGTTGGCTGATTCTCCGATTCTACAGGCAGGTCAACTCCGATCACCAACCGCCCGGCGAGACATGGCAGCTGTAGGGGCTTCTTCTTCAATGGTGCAAGCTATGCTTGCACCTCGATCATCGATGGCGCCGTTTAGTCTCCGTTCTTCTTTGCCTCATCTTCATCTTCTACCTCGTTCAGCTTCTTCTCCGTTGACACATTCTTCTAAGCTCCAAACCTCAGGTACAATACAACAAAGTATTTTTTTTCCCTCTCTTACTTCCAACAAAATTACAACCGATATGATCCGATCCACGATGAGTTTTTATATGTTTCAATTTGTCGAAATTGCTTTGATTGGATGTTTTGGTGCCCTAAACTTGTTGACGCGTCTTCATCGTTCTGAATAATCTAAATTATTACCCCCTTCGTTGGAGACTTCACACAGGTCTCGTTTACATTAAGGATTTCATCATACACGTTTACAAAATGGACCAATAGAGCATATATGATCATAGTAAATTAGTGATTAGACTTGAGTTAGGCCCAATAGCTGATGTTAAATGGCTTCTCTCGACTCTCAATCAGACGATTGAGATTAATGGAGACCAGGGTATTACATAACGATGAATAATCACTTCCATGCCTGATATTCATCAAAATCTCTTTGAAACAGCATCCAAGAGATCATTATCATATCGCATCATGGCATCTTCAGAGGATACATCTGAAACTTCAGAAATCGGGGAGGTATTCTCGGGATTAAAGGAAAAGGTAAGCCACTATTTACTCTTCATTAAATCCTACCTTGTGAATCTGAATGCTCCTTGAAGTTCTTGTTTCTTGATGCTCTTGAACTTGATTATATTTTGCATCTTTTAACAGTGGAATGCACTTGAAAACAAACCCATTGCTCTTGTCTATGGAGGAGGAGCAGTTGTTGGTGTTTGGTTATCTTCCACAGTTCTTAATGCCATCAATGAGGTTCCTGTGGTAAGTCATATATAAATATAAACTAAACTTCATCTACATCAAAATATATAAACTTTATTTAAACTCTTGTAAATCTTTAATGATATGTTTTAGTTTTATAAATATATCAACTAAATTGTGCAAGCAGATCCCAAAGTTCTTGGAACTTGTAGGATTTGGATACACTGGATGGTTTATCTATCGTTATCTTCTCTTTAAGGTGAATATTTATATTTGACATGGGTATAAGTGTAATTTCTTTAATTTTATTTTTATTTTTTAAAAATTGGGCCTTTGTCTACAGTCAACTAGAAAAGAACTAGCTGATGATATTGAAGCATTGAAGAAGAAGATTGTTGGAAATGAATAGAGGATTGTAATTGGTAACATGTTTCTATGTCCATATTTAGTTTATATTATTGATTTTAAAGTTATTTATATGCATCCTTCCACCATAATGCTTGATAATGTGCACATTGTGTAGTGTGAAGTGTTTTAATATGTTGTATCAATTGTTTTCATGTATTTGTTCCTGTTGTATTTTGGCTAACTTTTATTGGAAATAAATTAACAACTTTATGAATTGATACTATTACTTGAATTGCACATTTGAACTCGTATTAAATAGTAAATACAAATATACAATGACTAAAACTATGACTTTTTGCTACAACACGTGTGCGATATATCTTTATAATTTAGATGTTTTTTGAAAGTATGTTATAATAAAAAGAAATAAAAGAAGATGCTAAAATAAAGAAATAAATGAACGTACGTTGCTATTTCTTGGTATTTGATTCCCTTTTTGAAGAGTCAGGAAATGGCTCCCTTGTATATGGGCTTTATGTGTTTATAAAAAGTAAACGCCAACACTTTTATTTATATGAGGATAACTACTAAATCATATAAAACTTGGATGTAAACGAAGTGAGCTCATTTTTTTATTAAAAAATTAATTGATGCAAAGTTCAACATCAAAGAATTATGTAACACTCAAGGCATGCGTAACCTTTGTAACACTCATTAGTCCTCTTCAACATTAAACTTATTAAAGTAACCTTTATAGCCTCCACCATGGCACTTCAAAAGTAAATTATCTTAGTGTGGATAATGTAAGATATATCCACTTTGGATTCAATTTCCCACCAATGTGGTATACAGCAAAATCAACTAACTTCTCAATCTTTGTTTTGGCTTATGCTATTATTTTAGGAGAGGGGATAATGACTTTTTAGGATAACTAACTGTTGTGTTTATTTTCATTTGGTCACTTTCATCTATTTATTTATTTATTTATTTTTGTACTTAATATACCATCGAACTTGTTGTTTGTGTTCACCATAACTCTTTTGACCGGCTTTTGACCTGTGATAGCCGGTCAAAGGCTTATAGTGAACACAAACAACAAGTTCGATGATATATTGAGTACAAAAAAAGAAAATGAACAAATTGAGAACAAATGCAACAGTTGGTTACCCTCCTGATCATTTTCCCTTTACTCATTCACAACAAATCTCACATTATCTCCTGCTGATATTAATGACTTTATGAAATTCATTCTTGCTTCTCTTCAAAACATAACCCACGAAAAAACATTATTCATACATGTACAACTTCGTAATGCACTTGAATATTTGTTAGAGGAATCTTGACTAAGCAGGTGCATTTCATGACTACATTTACATTTCCAATCAAATGATTTATCGTATCATGAATTCTAGACAAGTCTACAAATGAGTGTAATCACAAGTGTTGTGATTTTTTTTAGTTTACTTAGTTTTAAGATTGAATTCATGGGATAAGATACAACATTAATATGTATAATACCATGCAACTTTTGCAGACACATCACCATAATATACCTTAAGGTAAACGTTTATGCTGATAAATATACCTCTCATACACAGTCATATCCTTTTGCAGAGAGATGTTGACAGCTAACCACAGTAAGCATATCATAGACCATGTTTTAACGAAGTTACCCTCTGAAACGCTCTTCATATACGTTATGGCCACAGAAGGTTGCAGTCTTTGATAATTTTGCAACTTTAATTTCATTTACCTTTTCGGGGAAAATGATTCGGGAGGATAACTAACTATTGAGTTTGTTTTCATTTGGTCCTTTTTTATACTCAATATACCATCGTACTTGTTGTTTTTGTTCACCATAACCCTTTGACCGGCTATCACAAGTCAAAAGCCGGTCAAAAGGGTTATGGTGAACAGAAACAACAAGTTCGATGGTATATTAAGTACAAAAAAAGGAACCAAATGAAAACAAACAAAAAAGTTAGTTACTCTAAAGAGTCATTATCCCTTAGGAGAGTGGTCTATTGAAAATGCTCATGGTAAGGGGCGAATTTTGTGTATTTTTTATTTAGATTATGGTCTTCGAATGAATTTATCAAAAAGTAGTCTATGGAGTGACTATTACATCGGTAAAAGTCAATGATTTTGTATAAAAATTACCTTTTGAGCACTTGGAGATTACCGGTTTGGTGTAATATGTGCAAGATGGAAGCCTGGATACTAGTCCTTGAAAAGTTTAATCAAAAACTTTTGCGATGGAAGTTAATTCTTTTTCAATCGGGGGTCATCTTACCCTTCTTGTAGCGATTTTAGGAAGTTTAGGAGTTTGTTATTTTCTCTATTTTTCGAGTGCCCATATTTTTTTTTTTCGAACGGCAAGCTGACATTAACAGAAAACTAGCCAGATGTTAGGAGGTACAAAAACTTTGCAAGGAAAAAGAAACAGACAAGAAAAAGGAAACAAAAACGAAACAATACAAACGAGAATTAACTACATTCTAGCATAACATTCAAGGACGGGACTGCAACACCAGTCGAGTGCCCATATATTGGTTTTAAAGATGGAAGGTGGTAGTTTATTTTATTTTATTTTATTTTTTAATTTTTATGGGGAGGTGACATGAATGATCAAAAAATGTGTTGCATTAAATGAGATCATGTGCTTACGTCTGTAGATACCGGAGGCCTTGAGATTGGTAATTTGTCTGTGTCTAATAAAGCTCTCTTATCTTAATGGAGATGATGGTTTCATACGAATTCTATGCGTTTTGGGTGAGTTATTAAAGTTATTTATGGTTTTGAAAGGTAGGTTCAATAACGCTACTTGGGACCACCTTCAACAACCTTGTGAGAAGGTGTAGTAAACATGAGAGTAAATTATACAATTTGTCCCTCGACTAAGTGTTAAGTTGATCGTTTAGTCATTAATTTCAAAAATTAATTCAGACCATCCCTGTAATGTTTGTTTCTCACTCGGACCGTCCCCGACAAACATAAAATGACTATTTTACTTTTTTTTAATATATATTTGATTTGTTTGTTATTTAAAAATTTAAAAAGAAAAAAAAAAAAAAACAAAAACAAAAAAGGGGTCCACCACTACAAACACATATCATCTACACTAACCCCCCTCACACCCTTTAATCATTTATCATCATTTTATCTTCATGAGTTCATCTTCTACCGCTGGACCACCACAAAACACCACCGGACCACAATGCAACACCGTCGGACCACCGTGCAACACCATTGGACCACCGCCTCTTTTTATCTCAGAAACACCGTCGACTACCCTTTCTTCCCTCGTTCTTCGTCCCAGTTAGTCCTTAAGCCACCACCGCCGACCACCAGGTCTGTAGAAACACCGGGTGGAGGTGGAGCAGAGGAACAAAAACACACATTTTTTGTGTTTACTATTGCAATACAGATAAAGAGAGAGCAAGAGAGACGGAGATAGAGCCGCCATCGTCACTTGTTCAGAAATCCAAACTCTAAGTGGTGGTTGTTGAAGGTGGCTTCATCTTCACCTAAATCCATCTTCACTAATGTAAAACCCAACGTATCAGGTGGTAACCCAACAGATCGGGTGGAGATGGACAATTATTTCATGTGGTTTCAACAAATATGTTATTAATGAGATAAACCCTAACCGAAGGAGATGATGACGTAAATGTGAGGAAACCTAGCGTACAAAGGCTTGGAGGTGACGATTACTTGCAGATCTCAGGCAATGTTTAGTGATGATATAGGTAAAGGAGGTTAGAGGTGGTATCGCCGACGTTCTAGGGTGAAGGAGGCAGGAAAGGAAGGTCGGCAACGTCGTTGGTTAGATAGCGTTTTGGATTCCAGTTGGGAGTGGGTGAGAAAGAGGGAGGCAATGCCAGATGGTGTCTTTATTGGTTGCAAAACAACGGTTATATGGTGGTGGTGGAGCACCAACGATGATGTAGTGGTGGTGGAGCACCGACGGTGATGCAGGTGAGTGGTGTGGTGGTGGTTCATGAAAGAAAAAGGAAGAATAAGGATATATGAAGGTGGGGCTCAATTATTTAATTATTTCTTTAAAATTATAATTAATAATAATAACAATCTAAAAATAAATAAAAAATAAATAAGAGCAAAATAAACATTTTATGTATGGTAAGTGATTTAAGAGATGAAACGTGCAACTTTTAACGATATTAAGGATTGTTCGATTTAATTTTTAAAAATAATGACTAAACAAACAATTCGATACTTAGACGAGGGACGGATCATGTAATTTACTCTAAACATGATTAACCGGCTTCAATCAAAAGAGGTTGATGTTGCTTCTTTTATGTAAATGGAGCTTAATAATAGGTATAGTATGCATTTTTGGGAGGAGTCGTTGGGTTGGGGATAGACCTCCTCATATCTCCCTAGACTTTATGCCCTTGAGACGGTCAAATATGATCTATTTTTGATCGTTTTAATTTAAGAAATTGGTCTTGGGGTAGCGACAACTATAATTTGGGGGAGATGAAGCCGAATTGGATACTTTCTATAACCACATTGAAGGTTTGTTTTCTCATACATAAATGACACATGAGTTTGGGACCTTTCTTTTTCAAGAGATAATTTTGTTGCTTCTTTGCGTCAGTTGGTGGATGACCGAACTCAGTACTTATGGGTGTATCACACGCTAGAATAAATTAACCCAATAAATATTAATATTCTAGCATCGAGAATGAACTTGGATCGGATGCCTACTTGGAAAAATATGGATAAATAATGAATTGATATAAATTTCATTGCTTTGTCCTATATGTGATATGGACATTAAGATGGTGTAACATTTTTTTTTTATTAATTGTTACACGTCTAAGGAGTTGAGGGAGAAATTTTTTCACGGTAGGATATAACGTGCTTGCAGTTGTATTTGTTTAATGAGCGGATCAAATGTCTAGTGCAAGTGTGTCAAAGAGTGCTGTTAGCATAAATGCAATCTTTTGGTGTAGAATTTTATAAAAAGGTTCAATGTTCAATGTTCAAACATTAAACGTCCAAATATTGTTAATGTTTAGCAATTTACCCTCATAGTAGACAATAAGATGCACTTTACTCTTTACCTTTTTGTAGTATAGATGCAACTAGTTATGCTAACTTTGAGATGGTGAAAAACACTACGAATTTGTATGGTCCCATAAAACAATTACTACAAGATAAAAGAAATTTGGTATTGCAAAAATTACTATGTTTATTACGAACATATTTTTAAGAAAACATTTTTTTTGGGGGTTTTTTGTTGTTCAAACTTCAAGGAGCATATTCATTGTAAAAAGAGATTCATATTGCGAAAACGGGACTTTAGGTAGACTTCATTTTCACAATATAAATCTTCCTTTTCCTGTGAAAATTATATTTGAGAACCATACCACAAAAAAATGAAGGTTTAGAAACATATTTTCTTGAAAAAAAAAAGCAATATTTTTGTAAAAGTATGGACAATTTCTCATTACAAGGACCAATTTCGCAGTTAGGGGCGGATGCAGGATTTCATAGTAGGGGTTGCACGGAAAAATTAGGGTTTGCACGATAGTAGAAAAAATAAAAATTTTAAAAAATTTCGAAATTTTTTCCACTGCGGCTGAAAAATTTAGGGGTTGCTGATGCCACCCCGGAACCCCCCTAAATCCGCCCCTGTTCGCAATACACATAGTAAATTCAATAATACTATTTGTTTTCTTTTGATTTTGCATGAACGGTATTTCGCAATCATTTTTTGTTAGTGGGGATCATAATGATGCTACAAGTCGACTTTGTCAAGTAATGGTAATTAGGGATGAGCAAAAGGACCGGGGAACCGGCCGGAACCGGTCGGGCCGGGACCTATACCATAAATTTGTGATTATTTGGAACCGGGATCCGGAAAGAACCGGCTATTGGAACCGGCCCAAAACCGGGAACCGGCCCGGCTTAAAACCCCATATCCCTACTGTCGCAACTCGCAGCTTCTTTGTACACGCATGCGGCAATCTTCTAGTCGCATTGTCGCTATCTTCACGTAACACAAAAAAAAAAAAAACACGCAATCGAGTCGGCCACGATCGCAACTCCCCCACTGCCGAACCCTACTCGCTATCATCTTCATCAATTGGCAATCGGCATCTCTTCATTCATCATCATTCAATTGAATCAATTCTTCATCTCCAAGTTTCCATCGATTACAAGTTTCCATCTCCAATTTTAAACCGATCTTCAATTCTTTATCATCCTTCAATTCTTCATTGATTTTCATCTTCAATTACTTCAATGATTCAAACTATGGATGTCCATGAAGATCAAGTAAGAGCATATATTTATATTTCATGTTTTAAGATTATATATTTCAATATTTGTTTCAATGCTTCAATGATTCTCCAAATAATGGCATGCATGCAAGCTTTTTTTCTTTGCTTTTGTTGTATCCATTCCAAATATATGCATTGTTATCCCTAGTTAATTAAAAGATCTTGATTTTTGATCATACTCTCATAGTGGAGTACTCCTTTACGGATGAAAGGTTGTACATATAATATATGTTTCATGTTTTAAGCTCCATTTAACAATGTACTTTGTAGACATACATGCAAGATTTTTGTTAGATTAGTTTATTGTTTATAGTATGAATGTAATTATGTAAGATTGTCAAAACTACAAATTTGTTTAGTACTTTTGTTATATAATTAATGTGTAAAATTGACAATGTAGGATTTAGATGGGTTACCAAATGTACCATCATCAAGATACCGAAACTCGGATGTTCATGATGCCAATATTGAAGATGGTAATCCGGCTAATTGGATTGGAAAAGACTTTGATGATCAAGTAAGATTAGCATTTAACTCATTAGCAATATTTACTTTTTTAGCAATCTGTCCAAATTTTGAATTGTTGATAAGTCATTCAATTTAACTTGTTTTGACCTGAATCTTTTTCCTACATGTAGATTAGAATTTGTAGTTGAGTTTAGACTATAAAAACGCTTAATTTGGTTAAAAATTGAATGAGTTACAAGCCCCGCAAGGAAGGGTGTTAAATATGATTTTTTTTTTCTAACAGCAATAAAACGTGATCTGATTTTGTTGTTCAATTGTGCATAACTCATTCAATTTAACTTGTTTAGACCTGAATCTTTTTCCTACAAGTAGATTAGGATTTGTAGTTGAATTTAGACTATAAAAACGCTTGATTTGGTTAAAATTTGAATGACTTACAAGCTCCGGAAGAAAGGGTGTCAAATCTGATTTTTTTTAATATTTATTTTTCAGCATTTAAACATAATATGACTTATTATATGTTTTATTTTGAGAATATAGGATTATGGAGAAGATTCAGAAGAAGATTATATAGAAGAAACACCGGCATGGAATGTCATACCAAGTGATGAATCAAACCAAGAAGAGGAGCCACAAGAACAACAACCTTCAAAAAAACGAAAATTTGCAACCCCACAAAAACGAAGACAACCAAAAAAACCAACACAAACAAAAAAACCACCACCACCACAAAAACGAACACAAGAAAAATACCCAACAAAACCAAAACCCAAAAACAAAAAAAAGACTCAAAAAGAGTTAAGGGACCGGATTAACCCAACTAGACGAGGTGAGGGTAGAGATAATTGTACCGCTCCTGTTTGGAAATACTTCGAGATAGAATGGATAAAGGAGGACGATGGAATTGAAAGAAAGTGGGCCGAATGTAATTATTGTTTACATTTACTAGCTGCGGATCCAAACCGGAATGGGACAACTTCAATAAATAAGCATTTTAATGGGTGCAAGTTAAATCCAGACAACATACCGAAAGAAGTTGATGACAAACAACAAAAGTTGTCATTTACGAAAGCTCCTAATGGTGAGGGTCATGTATACACATGGAAACATGATGATACTAGGATCCAACTTGCCTTGCTAGGCCTTTTCACTATCGGCGAACTACCATTTAAATTCATTGAAAACGAGACATTCATAGAATTTGTGAACGCCCTCAATGGTAGGGTGAAATTGCCTTCAAGGCATAAAATTTCTCGTGATGTTGTGTCATTCTATTTAATGGAGAGGCAGAAGTTGTACAAACATTTGAGCAACCCCAAAACAGCCATCCACTTGACAACCGACACGTGGACATCCTCGTGTCAAAAGATAAATTATATGGTTGTCACGGCCCACTTCATTACCGAAGATTTTGTCATGCACAAAAGGGTAGTCAACTTTAGAGAGGTTGATACTCACAAAGCTGAAGACATGGCCCGGGAGTTGCTAATTTGCATAAACGAGTGGGGGATGAAGAATGTCATGACGATGACCGTTGATAATGCCAAGACAAATGACGCGGCAATCAACATCATTGTGAAAGAACTACCGGGTATTTACGAGAATGGCAAACATTTTCACATTAGGTGTATGGCTCATATCATAAACCTAGTTGTGAAAATGGGGTTAAAACACGAAGTTTATCATGTAAAAAACCTACAAGATGCGGTGAAATACATTAGAGCCTCCCCGCAACGGATCAAGACCTTTAAACAAGCCATGAAGGATGCGGCTGTAGAAAGTTAAAGGTTTTTGTGTGGTGAAACTCCAACAAGGTGGAACTCTACCTTTGAATTGCTAAGATCAGCATACGATGTGAAAGACGCATTTCTCGAATATAGCCATCAAGGTAAATAAAATCAATTAATCAAATATATTTCAGCACTAAAATTAGCAATATTTATTTCTTTAGCAATCAGTCCAAATATTAAATTGTGCATATCTGAATTTTTTTTCTAACAGCAATAAAACGTGATGTGCTTTTGTTGTTCAAATGTGCATAACTCATTCAATTTAACTTGTTTTGACCTGAATATTTTTCCTACATGTAGATTAGGATTAGTAGTGGAATTTAGACTATAAAAACGCTTGATTTGGTTAAAAATTGAATGAATTACAAGCCCCGCAAGAAAGGGTGTCAAATCTGATTTTTTTTTTTCTAACAACAATAAAACGTAATCTGATTTTGTTGTTCTTTTTTTGTAGATCCAATGTTTCAGAAAACTGTGGGAAGGGTACCATCACATTCAGATTTTGAGATGATTAAAAAGATGATGGAGTTCCTTGAGAAGTTTAAGAAGAAAACTGAAAAAGTTTCGTGTTCAACAAAGCCTATCTTCCATACGTATACCCGGGAGATCCTAGATATAGAGCAACATCTTAGGAAACATGAAACCAACCCAGATTTTATGTTTATGGTACCGGATATGAAAGATAAATATGACAAATATTGGGGTGACTATGATACTATAAGTGATTATGTCTTCTTTGCCACATTGTTAGATCCTCAATGCAAGTCAAAGTTTATGAAAGTTGTTTTTACCCAAATGCTTAAAGCCAAAAACAAAGATAAAAAGATGTCCGCTGATGAGATAGAATCCAAAGCACGTGCAAAGGTTATTGATATTGAATGCAAATTGGATAAGTTTTTCAAGACATACTTGGAAAGGTCAAACATGACCTCATCGTCTCAACAAGAAACTCCCGAAGAAGTTGTTAATTTTGATGACGAAAACGAATTCTTTGGAAGCTATATGACTTCGGGAAGTTTCCCCTCAACTTCGTCAGAAAGTCAATTGCAACGATACTTAAACGAGGACCCAATCGGATTTGACAAAGGATATGATATCCTCACATGGTGGAAAAATAATGCGGTGCGGTTCCCGATCGTTGCTCGAATGGCAAGAGGTATCGACCTTCTTTTACTATAATTTAAATTTTTAATTTATAAATTTGTGTCGTGTGTTATACACTAATTTGTTTATTAATAGATATTTTGGGGATGCAAATTTCTACCGTAGCATCCGAATCCACATTCAGTAATGGTCGTCGAGTAATTACCGACTACCGTACTAATTTGTCCGTTGTGATTGTGGAGGCATTGATATGCACTCAAGATTGGCTAAGAAAGAGTAGCTTGCCTATATATGACTACGACGAAGTGCACGATGTGTTAGCTGACGATGATCTCGCTATCGGTAATACAAAAATACTTGTTACATCTTACTTTTAACTTCTTATTAGTATTTGTTACATTTTAGTAAGTAATAACGTTTTTCTTTTGAATTATATATAGACATTGTGGATGCTATACACAACTTGAAGCTAATGGGGAAGAGATCGGAAAATTAGTCAAAATATCAAAGAAATGTTGGAATCCACATATTAGACTTTTTTTTTTTTTTTTTTGTTGGTGAAACTTGGAAGTATATTTTGAATGTCGAAAGTGTATTTTGAATGTTAAATGTTGAAGTATATTTTGACGACATCCATGTTTAATTTGCTTGTAATAATTTAAATAAAAGACCCATGGTTAATTTGCTTCAATGTTGAATCGTTTATTAAAATGTTTATTATTAAAATGTTGATTATTTACTAGTATTTAAACATCCACTTCTTCATAAAAAACCAATAAAACGCAAAGTAAATTAGTCGTTGGAATTACTCGAAAACCCGGCAAAAATCGGACCCGAAAAACCAATAAAACGCAAAGTAATTTAGTCGTTGGGTACATCAAAATTTAGCCGGTTCCATACTCGAAAAACCGGCAAAAACCGGACCCGGAACCGGAACCGGTATAACCGGAACCGGTAGAACCGCCGGGTTGGTTCGGTTCTTCATTTTTGCCGAATCCGGTTCCCCGGTCCAGTTCGGTTCGGGCCGGTTCGGTTCTCTTGCTCATCCCTAATGGTAATCTAAAGTTGGTAACATCGATGGAGAATCGATATGATAGAGCGAAAAAGGGTCAGGAGTACTACCATAATGGCTTCTGGTAATATTCTCCAATGCCTAAGTTAAAACAATCAGATGGTGATATTACTATGTAAATGAGTCGGGATGAATATCTTGCTTGTGAGTTTGTCTTGTATCCTTCCTAGCTCCTTTTATAGGCTAAGGTTTTGCATGAGATGAGACATATAGTACCATGGTTAGTATTTGTTTATAGGTGGAGTTCGCCCTAAACTTGTGGGTTCTTTATTAATTAATGTTGGTTTTAATTCTTTGTGCTAGATTTGTGGGATTTGAGTATCTTTGGTGGGATTCTCTACTGATTAGGTTTGTCTAACTTGTTTGCGTTGTTATGTGTGTGTTCGTATGTTATCTTTTTGTCATCCTTTTGCTATTCGATATTCATTCTTCTTATCCGGATTGAGTATATCCGGTCATCAATTTATTGTGTTATTCGGGTTTCTTGGGTGGTGTCCCCATTACATACACAACGATATTTTTTGGGTTTTGTAGTGTCATTCATTATTTCGCAGTATGTCATTGCCATTGTCATTACATCATTAGTGGTAATTGGAAAATTTTCCTAAAGTTTTAGTTAAATTTGGAAAAAGTTAAAAAAAATATTTTGTTATTTTCTCATTAAACGATAATAATGTGGTGCCATCAAACTTTCTATTAAATCGAAGAAAACAAAACAACTTAAACAAATACAAACACAAACTGTTAATAATATACTATTCATAAATACAATAATCAAAAGTTGTGGCTTATCCTAATGTTTTATTTGATACCTATCCCGTAAAGTATGGCGCAAGCGTGGGACTTGAGCTCTTGACTTGCATGTGTAATGGCATCTTAACAAATTTGATTATTAAACTATGTAATTGAAGATTTGAAGGTCAGGACTCGAGAGACAACACTATCTATTTTATATATATATTTATATCAAATAATAACATAAATTAGTAGTATACACTCCATGAAATTTGACGGGTGTGTATGGATTATAGCTTGTAACATTTATGTCAGCATTGATATACAATCGATAATCCAACACATTTAATGAATTCTAATATAATATGAAAAATAGCATGCGAATCTTTGGAAAAAAAAATTATTTGCTAACCAGAAACTTGACAAAAAAAAAAAACATCCGTGGTTTCTTCAAATTTGAAGTTTAGTCTTCATGGTTTAAAAACAGCATAAATGGTCCTTATGCTTTCAAAACTTTTGACGATTAGTCCTTATTGCAAACTCCGTTAAATTTTATCCGTTAACTGAAAGGTATTTTCGTCATTTCACTACTAGAGAGACAATTTATGATATTTTTTCTTACTTTTTAAAAAAGAAAATATTAAATATAATTATTTAATATGTAAAAGGTTCTCTCTCAACAGACAGTCATCTGAAGCTGGGTTATTGGAGCCCATATTTGGAATCACTGGCAACAATTTTCACAAGTTAGGGTAAATTTTGTAGTAGCTAGGGCCATGATTCTACCACAATTTATTCATCTTCATCTTGATATTCATGTTCGCTAGTTCATACACTTTAAGAATAGTTCCCTTTAAAGCTGATTTTTAAAGGGAATGTTGTTGGAAATAAGATCTACATGATTTTTAAAGCTGCGCTACTCCATATCCCCACTTTCTTCCCTAAATTATATCAAATCGGAATAGGGAAGGGACAACCACAATAAGGTTTTTTTTTTTTTTTTTTTTTTTTAATTTTTTTTTTTAAACCCCAAGAGCTTTGGGGTTGTGTCACTGGTTACCAGCAAACTCGATGAATCCTAAAGCAAGAAGGTTTAAACTTGATGAACCTAAATCTGAAAGGCCCAAAATCGATGGCAAAATCTAGAACTGGAGGTGCCGAATGACACATATACAAGCATGGTTATTTCTTCATCTGAGTATCGAGATACAATTTGGGTTTTTTCTTCATCTGAACTTCTAAAATGAAATATGATCGATTGGGGGAGTAAACAGGAATGCTCTTCGTTTTATACATTATAAAAATTGGGGTAGTAATAGAAAGCCAAACAAAGGAAGGGTATCAATTTAAGGTTTATCTTCAGTTCAGAAAACCCTTCGAATGTCTCGGCCGAAGAAGCCGGAATGGAATCCAAAGAAAAGGAGCAGCTGAAGTGATGCCATTTAGTGCTATCATATCCTCGAGGGTCTCGACTCTTCAACCCTAATCTTAGGGATTCATTTTCCTCTTTTTTCTAAAACCTTTGTTAAGTTTCTACAACTGAACATATATAGACCCATCCATGTCTTCAAGTACTCAATTCAACAAGTATAGGAATCACATATGTAGATGAAAGCAAGAAATATGTTGATGTTCTTGTTCTTGTTGGGATTTGGAGAAAGGGAAACACCGAATTACAAAATCTAGAAACATCGTTGTTGGTGACTGGTTTACGAATTGAATGCAACGATTTTCAATAGCAATTCAATTTTCAACAAGCATATCAGGAACCATTCGGTTTTCAATTCTAATTATTAGCAATCAATCGATTGTCCTCACAGGAAATCGGTTCATGAAAAATGACAACTCAAAAGATGGTAAAAACTCAACGAGAGAGAGAGATTTTACATATTAAATAACTATATTTATTTTTTTCCTTTTTTTTAAATAAGAGAAAACATCATAAATAGTTTCTGTGGTAGTAAAATGATAAAAATGTTCTTCAGTTAACAGACAAAATTTAATGGAGTTAGAAATAAAGACCAATCGTCAAAAGTTTTGAAAGCACAGAGACTATCTATGATGTTTTTAAACCACAGGAACTAAACTTCATATCTCGGGAAACCACATGGATCATTTATGATGTTTAAAAAAAAAAAAAAAAAAAACACGAAATACAAATAAAAGCAAAATATGTAAATATAATCGAGTTTGTTGGTTGTATAATTTGTAAATTCTTGTTTCTAGCTTTTTGCTAGTGTTTAATAAAATTTGTTTTTAAAAAGAAAACGGTTGTGAAGCCATGCAAATTGTAACCAAAGTAAACTTTACATTTAATGTTTCAATTATAAAAAACCCAAAGTAACAGTATGAACTAATATTATCTAATCATATTGCTTTCCTTGGTTTGATCGCTCAAGAAATGGTTGAATTCGATAAATTCAAAATAACCCAAAATGTTATAAGAATAATCATGTCCAAACATTTCATTTGAGTAGCTTTAATCTTCACATGACCTCTCAACCTAATCAAATTTCTGACCAATTTAAAATCTTTCATATTAAATTGCCACCATCTTTCAATTTGACACCAAAGAAAAGAAACCACATTAAGAGATGGTTAACCCTTTAACTACAATCGCAAATCGCGCAGAGAATGTAATCCACTCAATCTCTTTTTATCCGGATTTACCCCAGCAGACACCCTATTAGCAACTTGACATGAACAAAACTCTTTCATCTAGTTGTAATATCATAATATCCCCCATTACCAAAGTATCATTATCACTAATTTTCCATACCAAAAAAAAAAACAATTAATTTCTAGAAACATCAAATTCCTAGTGCCATTGTCGTTTTGATTATAAAGGATCACCAATTAAAGAATATCATTCGTTTGGGTCGGACCATTGCTTCCCCTACATGTTAGCTAGTTAGCATCTATGGTTTAGGCTCAAGACCTTTAGAGTTTAGGTTAGGCCAAAGATCCTTATGTATCCCTATTTATATTAGGCCTAACCCTCATTATTAATCAAACAATCTATTCTATAACACTTCAAACCTCAACATAAACATATAGGCTAAAAATGATTTGGAACGTGCTAAAAAACTACGCCATCTTTATTGAAATCTAACTCAAAATTCCGTAGAAACCAATCTTTAATGCCAAATCTCCCAACCAAAAGTCTCTCTAAAGTTTAGTTCTTTGGCCATTACCCATCTTTTTTGAACAAACAAAAAGATCTATACCTTTAGTTTGAAGATGCATGGAATCTCGTACAATGTCAACCGCGGACCATTATAAAAAATCTAGTAATCGATTGTTTAAAATAACCATTATCTTCATAAATCATTTTAATAACCCGATTCCACAAATGCATATCCACCTTCACGAAAGCGACATATCCTATCAATTGCGAAACTTTTATCTTCTTTTCTATCCGAGACTTAGAGGCTGTTTGGCAGGATCTGAATTTTTAAGAGGTCTGAATTTATAAGAGGGTCTGAATTTTTAAGATCTAAATTTTAACATGTTGTTTGGTTGGAACCTCTGAATTATTTTGCTGAATTATAAAAATGACCATTTTACCCTTTTATCTTAATTTTTACTGAATAATTATAAAAAACATACAAAATCAAAACTAACATAAACCAAAATTTATCTTCAACAATTTATAATGATTTTTTGACATATATTTACAAAAATAACATCATTGTTTATATCCCAAGGATTTCAAAGTTAAAAAATAACATATTTGACATTGAATGATGAAACATAAATGACAAGGAACTTGCAACTGAACTATTGATGATTGATTTGTACTCCTTTACTTCTTCATCATTACATCAAACATGATAGCCTCTTAAAATTTTCTTTCAAACATTTCAACCTGTAATATCCAAATTCAACAAGGAAACAAATAAGCTCAATAGCAAGTTATATAATCATTAACTTAGAGTTGAATGAATGATCTTTACATTTGTAGCTTTGGGTTGAAATTCAAGTGATTCTAAAAATCACTTTAAACACATATATATAAATTGCATACCAAATCCATCACAACTTTTCAAAGTATGTTGCTAGAATCGAATAAATTGTCAAAAACTCCAATTGTCTAAATTACTTTCAATTCACACACAGTTCATGCATAATTGTTAGATAATGATGCACCATCAATTATGTATCAACATATTTTTCAAACTCGATTTTTCAAAGTTTCAGAGTTCAAATATACAGTTTCATTCACCAAACATATGTATTTGTGTGGTCTATTTCGGATTCACCAAACAATTGGTTGTTTTATCATCTTCTATATTAAGATTTCAATCAATGTTTATATTTTGTAAAACCTTGATACTATTAATTAGAACCTCAATACAAAAAATTTAAGATACAAATCTAGAAAGAAATACATGTATTATATGAAGATCCAATACAAGATCGGGCATGAAATACAAAGAAAATCAAAATCAAGGACTGATAATCGAGTTCTAGGGCAAAAAAATCCATGTATTTCTAAGAATCGGTTTTTAGGGGAAAAAAGAACAAGCCATGAAAAAAAAAAACTTACCTGCAATAGGAGGTTGTCGTTGTTGCGGTGCTAGCAGAAGCTGGCGGAGGCAGCGCAGGTTCTGGGGGCGAGGTCAATTTCGAAGGGAGGGTGCAGACAACTGTAAATAGGATATAAAGAGAAGAGGTGGGATGAAGGAGAAGGAGCAATCTTGTTGGAGCCTACCTCCTAGAATTCAAAAACAAATCAATCATAAGTCTGCATCGGGCGTTTACCATGAGGATCCGATCTTGAACTAATACCGGAACTTGAAGATTTCCGGAGAGGAACAGAACTCAAACCACCATGACCAGAGGGACCTGAGGCGGAGAGGTAAGAAAAGAGGTGGGATGAAAGAGAATGAGCCAAGCGTTGGAAGTCTTGGTGGGAGTCGATTTCAGGGAGGTCGACGACGGAGGAGGTGATTGGTGCTTGACATGGTCAGAGGTAGGAGGAGAGTTGGAGACAGAAGAGATGATCTGAAGGGGGTGTGTTGTTTTGGAGGCGGGCATATCAACAACGATGAGGGTAAAAGAGAGAAGGACGCGTGCTTTTTATTTTTCAGATGCAAGCCCAAGTCTAAAACTTTAAAAGGCTTCTGAAAGTTTAAGAGGCTTTAATTCATAGCCTACCAAACACTCTTAATCTGAATAATTAAGAGGTTTCCTCTTAATTTGTCAATTAAGAGGCTACCAAACAACCCCTTATTGTCCAACTAATCCACCGTAATCTCCTTTCACCCAAATCACCTACCAACAAAACAGGTTTCTAATATACTCCAAAAGTTTTATATTTTTGGAGTTTTAAGTAGGAACATATAATATATCCACATACCGCCCAAAACCAACATGAGTATAAGCAATCTACCACCCAACGAAAGCAATTTAGCCTTTAAATTGGAATTTTTTTAGGGTTGTTTTATTAGCTTATTACTGGTTTCATGTTGGTGATTTTAATATCATCATTTCATTTTATGTAATTGGACTAACATGTAATCTAAATGGATTTGTACGGGTTGGTGCAGAGTGTACGTATGTATAAGATCAAATTAGAAGTCGGTTCAACGTCAAGTCGAGGGTCTAGGGCCAGCGCCCCTGGGTCCGAGGTTTCCAAAGGAGCGGCGTCCCTTTGGCGGGGTCGAGGGGTAGCGCCCCAAAACCTCACCGAATATTACATATGGGAACATAGTGGAAAATTCAGATTCTTGAGGGTTATTATAGTAAAACTAACGAAACTCGTTAGTTTTGGTAACCCTAAATCCTCATTAATCTAGATTACCCTGACTTTCTTCCAAAGCAACTAATGACGGCCCAACCTAATGAAACCCTAATTTCGTTTATTATATAAACGACTCTTCCTATTGTGAAATTAAACTTGAAAATTAGCTCTTGTTTTCTTCAAAACTCTCACATAATTTTTCTAGGAAATTGGCTTACGATTTCTATGCCTAGAATCGTAAGTATCTACTTGGATTATCCTAGGCTGAATTTCTTGCAACCCAAATATAGGGTATAAATATCAGTTCGGAAAGTGTTCTCACGATCCAAGTTGGTATTTAGATCTCCACCACAAACCCTAAATATTCTAACATTCCACACTATAGCAAATTTAATGAATTGCCTTGTGTGATGGCGTTGAATTGATTTCAATATATATATATATATATATATATATATATATATATATATATATATATATATATATATATATATATATAGAGAGAGAGAGAGAGAGAGAGATGTAGGTAGATTCAATTGAGAAAATAAAAAAAAAAATGAGAATGGGGGAATCATTCTCTACCACTCATTTATTTTTACCACAAAAATCTTCATCGTACCGACAGGGGAAATGAATACACGTGTGTTTTTTCAACAAAACATGTTTCATTAAACTATGCTAATCATTACCTTAATATATACGAAACATAGTTTTTTTCTTTTTTTAATTTTTAATTTTTAAGGAGCTATTTTTATCGAAAAATGATTTTAAATATATCAAAATTCATAATTTTTTATTCTCTATAAATAGACATCCATATTGATATAGTTTTAAGATAAATTAAAATTTTATTTGTTTTATAGTTTCAGCTATCGTTTTCTATAAATGAATAAAAATCCATCATATTTTTACTACAGTATATTCGTTATTCACTTATGAATTAAAAAAATATGATTAATTTTTTTTTTACAGTTTAAGTATCAATTATACTACTTATTCATATATGAATAGCAAATTAACTGTAACAAAAATCTGATAAATGTTTTATTCATGTATAAATATAAAAAATGATGACAACTAATACACGTTTTATTCATATATAGATATAATTTGTAATGAAAGATGATGTAAAAATATATATTTTACGTAAGAAAACTTTATTACGTGCTATATTCATATATGAACGATACTCGAACTATAAAAAAAAGTTAAACATATGTTTTATTCATAAGTGAATAACGAATACACGTTTTATTCATATATAGATATAATTTGTAACGAAAGATGATGTAAAAATATATATTTTACGTAAGAAAACTTTATTACGTGCTATATTCATATATGAACGATACTCGAACTATAAAAAAAGTTAAACATATGTTTTCTTCATAAGTGAATAACGAATGTATTATAATAAAAATATGATTGATTTTTATTCACTTATTAATAATGAAAGCTTAAACTCTAAAAAAAATAATTTTTTTATTTTATCATAAAACCATATCAATATGGATGTCTATTTATAGATAACAAAAAATTATGAATTTTGATATATTTAAAATAATTTTTTTGATAAAAATAACTTTCTAAAAATAAAATAAAAAACAAAAAAAATGTTTTGTGTGTATTAAGATAATGATTAATATAGTTTAAGGAAACATGTTTGGTTGGAAAACACATGTTTATCCGTTATCCATTTCCGCCGGTACATCTAAGTATTTTGCGGCAAAATAAATGTGTGGCTGAGAATTATTTCTCATTCTCAACATTTTTTTCTCAATTGAACTATCTTCTCTCTCTCTCTCTCTCTCTCTCTCTATATATATATATATATATATATATATATATATATATATATATAATATATATATATATATATATATATATATATATATATATATATATATATATATGACTAGGTTATAATGTGGATGGATAACTATTATGTCGACGTGTGGATAATGCTATTTCATTAAAAATTACTAAGAGAATATGTTGTTTAGTAATGTGAATACGTTCAATCTCATAGAACTATTGTTATTAATATATATATATATATATATATATATATATATATATATATATATATATATATATATACATATATATATATATATATATATATATATATATATATATAATTCCCAAAGGGTTTAGGTAACAGTATACTTTATCAGCTTCAAAGTTTTAGCACAAAATTTTGTAGAGATTGTCATTTTTACTCCTCTTTCATTTGGGGTTTAGACTTTTGCCACAATTAATTCCCAAGGGTTTAGGGAACAGTGAACTTTTCTTACTTTTTGTTTTCGCCACAATATTTTTTTCTTTTGTTCTTGTGGCGGAAGTTTAGAGTTTTTGGGTTTTTACCACCATTGTGGTTGTTATGTGGATTAACTTCTTTATAATATATTTTCTAATTTTTTTTTGTTGAGGTTTAGAGAATAGTATATTTTTTGTCTTTACAAATTTGTCACATAAGTTTTTTCAGTTTTACAAGGTGAAAAAGATTAAAACTTTTGAAAATTGTCAGTTTTGGTCTGTTAGGTTTGACATGTTGCCGATTTAACCATCAACACAATTTCCTTTATTAAAACTTATTTTATGAAAACTACAATATAGTCCCTGGACTATATATTTCATAATTTATTATTATTATTATTATTATTATTATTATTATTATTTACTATTGTCACTACAAGCCTTTATGTCTCACACATTTGTTTTTATAATGTTTTAAAAATTTTCGTTTAATGCTTCTTAAAAGTCATTATAGATATTTATAACTTTAGTTTAGTTATTATTATACATTTTTATCAAATCTTTTAATTATCTCCAAATTATTGACTTATTGTCATGTTCTTATTATATCATATGACATTCATTATAAAAATCGTTTGGCATTAACAATTTCAAGCTTATCAAAAAAATTATTTAGTTTAAAACTAATCAATCAAGGTTTAAGTAGAATCTTCACCTTTATGTTCTATTTACCTTTATGTTCAAGTGAGTTTCAATTTTATTTAGAATTCCATACTTTTGTGAATTATAAGAATCGAAACTATTTAATAGTTCTTATTTTGTTACAGGTTTGCATAAAAAATTTTTTTAACGTTGTGTTCTTGTATCCAAGACCACAAAAAAAAGCTTCTCGAGGTTCAAACAACAACTGCTTAAGTTGTGAAAAAAAATTATTCGAACCCACGCCAATGGTGTTGTGGCCTTTTACTATTACAAATAAAAAACGCGTCTTTGGTGTGACTGAGCATTTCCTAGTTTTAATGGATTCTCACCAATTCTAATTTATTTTTGCTCTCATTCATCGTTTTTTTATTTATTTTAATTCTTACAGAATACGACTCAATAAACATCCTGATAACATTATGATAAAATGAGAATAATTTTAAAAAAAAATGTATAATAACCTTATAGACAATTTAATTAGTAAAAATGCTTAATTATTAAAATAATTATATAAGATTGAACGTATTCATATTATCAAACAACATATTTTCTTTGTAATTTTCACAGAATAACATTATCCACACGTCTACACATAAGATGTCAATCCACATTTGAATCTAGCTCTCTCTCTCTCTCTATATATATATATATATATATATATATATATATATATATATATATATATATATATATATTCTAATAAATAAATAGTTCTAATCTTCTTTTGCTAAGTGTCACTTTAATAAACTCTTCATTAATATTATATCATCTATCATGTAGTTATATTAGGCAACTCATTTTAAAATTCAAATTTACATTTTCTAATTATATATTAAATTTGAAGTTATAATAACTTTAAAATTTTGATATATCTCTTAATTAATAATTTATTTAAAATAACTGATTAATAATTATAATTTTTTATAAAATTTTAATTAATTTTGTAACCGTAGTTCCCACAGATTATAACTTATATATATATATATATATATATATATATATATAGGTAGGTAGGTAGGTAGGTTAAAATATTTCTCACATCTATTATGTGATAGAATGTACCAATAAAAATTTAGTAAACATTAAATATATATTAAATGATATCCATACCTATAATTCATTTTTATAAAAACTAATTAAATTCATCATTAATGTCAATAATAATATTTTTGTAAAATGAATTCATATATAGAATAAAAAAGTATATTCTATTAGAATACACCCTTATTCTTCATAACCCATATAACTTTATTGTGTTTTAAGTGAGTGAGTCTTGAAAGAATGTTATTGCTGACATAAAAACCTAGATACAAATTCAGTTTGAAAAAATATTATTGGTAACATTAATGACGAATTTAATTAGTTTTTATAAAAAGAAAATTATAATTATGGATATCATTTAATATATCTTTATTTAATTAAATAATAATTAAATTTTACTAAATTCCTACATTATAGCACACCGTAAATGTAGGAAACACTTTAACCTAGTTATATATATATATATATATATATATATATATATATATATATATATATATATATATATATATATATATATATATAGAGAGAGAGAGAGAGAGAGAGAGAGAGAGAGAGAGTTATATATAGAAAAATGGCAACTTGCTTAATGGTTGACTATACATTTAGATGATGGGCTAAAAAGCATAAATTTGATATTATTATACATAGAAATGGGGGACTCCTTCAAACCACGAACCTAATAATTAATAAACTAAGAGAATTTGTCAAAATATTTGTAGTTTTAATATAATAATCATTCAAAATCTGTTCTGACATTCTCAGTTGAATATTGTAACCAATATAACAATTAGTTTCCAAAGAAATTACATGCGTACCATTATTAGCATAAGTTCGCTAACAAATATAGGGCAAGCTTATAGTTTAGCTAGTTGCTATAAATTAATTTCGTACTGTAATTAATTACTAACTATATAATGAGTTCTTTTCATTTTATTCAAAACTTATAACATAGGTTATTAAATATTATTTTTGAACATACTTTTCCTAAAATATAATTCAACTTAAAGCATGTTCATTTTACATGTAGTTTGTATTAAGAAAAACAATTGTTATTCATATCTATCCCATACTTGATTACTTAAATATTAATATCACTTATTACTTATTATATGTGGTTTTTTATATGTTAAAAGAAGCAAATATTGACTACTTCTCGTCGACCAATTGCATGAGCTTTATGTTGGCATGGTGAGTACACGCACTTCCCAGTTCCCACGGGCGGCCGGCGGTGGTCCTTTTTATTTAACATTAAAGAAGTCAACGTGTCCACTTTCTAATCCTATTATATAAACACCACCACCACCATCCATTTTCTTGCAACAAAAATGGCTTCAAAATCTCTTAAATTCATCCCCCTTATCCTCCTCCTCCTCAGCCTATACACCACCCCAATCTCCGCCATCAAAAAAGGCGGCATCGCCATCTACTGGGGCCAAAATGGCAATGAAGGAACTCTAGCCCAAACATGTGCCACCGGAAAATTCCCTTATGTAAACCTAGCCTTTCTTAATGTATTCGGTAACGGGTCAACCCCAAGCCTTAACCTCGCCGGACACTGTGATCCAGCAAGTGGTGGATGTGTATCTTTAAGTAGCGACATCCGTAGTTGCCAAAAACAAGGTGTTAAGCTCATGTTAGCCATAGGTGGTGGCATCGGTAGATATTCCCTATCTTCAAAGCTAGATGCCAAAAATGTTTCCTTGTACTTATGGAACACTTTCCTAGGTGGCAAATCACCATCTGTGTTTCGCCCACTTGGCGATGCTGCATTGGACGGCATTGATTTTGATATCGAACTAGGATCATCAGAGTTCTATGATGATCTGGTTCGATATTTGAAATCTTACTGTGGAAAGGGTCAAAAAGTGTATATAACTGGGGCCCCACAATGCCCATTTCCGGATAGGCTAATGGGGTCCGCTTTAAATACTGGACTTTTTGACTATGTATGGGTACAATTTTATAATAACCCTCCGTGCCAATATAATGGTAATATTACAAATTTGATCAACTCATGGAATGTTTGGTCAAAATCGTCAAGTATAAAAAAGTTGTTTTTAGGGCTGCCGGCGGCAACACAAGCAGCCGGAAGTGGGTTTATTCCGGTGGAGGTTTTGAGGTCTCAAATCCTTCCGGTGATTAAGAAGTCCCCTAAGTATGGAGGAGTAATGTTTTGGTCAAAGTTTTGGGATGACCAAAGTGGATATAGCTCAGCAATTGTATCAAGTGTATAAGTAATTGGAATAACACTACTTTTGTATCAGAGGTATACTTGGAACAATAACACTACCTCTGTATACGTTTTTCAATCTCTCTTTTTTTTTTTTTTTTTTTTTAATTTCCTTAATTTTCACAATGTTGAATAAATTAATATGTTTTTAGTTACTTATTAATTGCTCAAATATATTATTTTACAATGAACATGTAATGTTGCTAATTTGCTATGCTATATGCAACCTCCACAGACAATCTTCTGTTTGAATCACAAATTATTAATTACATCAAAAAATATTTGTTTGTAGTTATTACTTTAGTTAAACTCGTTAGGTATTCATGCATATCATGATATCAAACAACTATGTTTTTAATTACTGTGACAAAGTTTTGATACCTTGTGATAGTAACATTTGCATGATTTTTCTTTTTTGAATCGTAATTTATTTACATTATAAAAGATACCATAGTCCATTTTACAATGATTTCAAACCCAAATACTGCTATCATTGTTTGTGAAATATTATATATAGATTTTCTTTGGATTGTAGATGTAACATCCTTCAAATTTTGTTCCTCATGATAAATAATGGGTAAGAGATAAATAATGTTGGAAATATTTGAAATGATAAGGTACTACTTAAAAGCAGAGAAAGCTTTATTAATGATTTTAGATTTTAGGGTCTTTTTAGGTTGGCTTTTTAAGAAAAATGCTTATTAGTTTATGGCTTTTAGGAAAAACGGATTTTAAAAAGTGTTTGGATAAGAAAAACTGTTTTTCAGGAGTAAAATTGTTAAAAAGCTAAAAACTAGGATTTTCCAGTTTTTTTGAAGTTTATTTTTTCCTATCCAAAAAACAGTTTGAAAAAACGTTTTTTAAATAAACAAACACTTTTTTTTAACTTATTACTTTTTGAAAAGCTAAAAAACTAAAAAGCTAATAGCTTATTTTCAAAAGCTAACTCAAACACTCACTTAGTAGAATTATCAATTCCAATGCAAATAGTAAAGCAACCTTTTGGTAATTATGTGAAGGTAGTTAATATTTTCCTACAATAGCTTTTGCATTCTAAGTTTGAATAAATATATACAAGAGGGCCATGGGCCAATACATATTAAAGCTATATATAGGCTACATAATTGACAACACAAATGTACTGTACAAGATAATAAATACATAGGCTAACATCTTCCATATAATAAATACACCAATAACATCCTTTTGCAATTTCATCTGGAGGACAATTCCAAACCTTCAAACTAGATGTGAAATTGTTGAAGAGTTGTGTCAAAAGGCCTTTAGTGAAGATGTAAGTGTATTGAGCGGGAGACAAAACGTGGTAAACGTGAATGAGACCCATGACAACCTGATCTCGAACAAAATGAATGTTAATCTCGTTTTGTTTGGTGTGCTGGTGTTGAACCGGGTTCAAGGATATATAAATTGCACTGACTTTGTCACAATAAACAATTTTGGCTTTGACATGCAGATAACTTAGCTTACGAAGCAAATTTCAATGACGGTATATGTAATGCCACGATACTAAGCCTCAACATTCGAACAAGATATGACTCACTGACATATAGGAGGTTGCCTCCTAATAAAAAAAATATGATAATCATAGGTGTAGTGTTGTGACACGGGACACCCTCCCCAGTCGACATCAGAATAAGAAATAAGGTCTGAGGAAGAGGAGACATGAATTTGAAGACCATGATATAGAGTCCCGCAAATGTACCGTCGAATGCGCTTCAAAACGTGAAGATGTGGCTTTCTAGGATCATGCATGTAAAGCCAAATCTACTGCATAGTAAATGTAATGTCGGGGATAGTAAATATGAGATATTGTAAAGCTCTGTCAAGGGTGTATCAATTAGTATACGAGTTGGATTGCATTGAAGCATGTGAGCCCTCTTTAGGATGTCAGTAGCCTACTTTCTCTGAGAAAGAAAAAGACCATATAATGACCGAGTGGCAGAGATACCTAAGAAGTTGTTTCAACAAGAAGAATTATATATCGATTTTTAACAATGTCAAAACTAAAAAGTGATCATAAAGATTACATTGACAAACAAGAAGTACTTTCATATATTAATAAGTAGTTCATTTATTCATACATAAGTATGATAACAAATGATTAATCTCTTCGTGTCAAAAAATGAGGTTTTACTGTTTGAAGATCAAAAGGTGAGTTAGTAGTGAGATTGATTTACAAATTCTTTTAAAAAGATTTCAAGTAATTCATCCAGTTTTTCACTTTCAAAATTTTTTGGTAAACAAATTTGTTTGAAAGCATCAAAGTTTAGATGAATTTGATACGAGTAGCAAAATTGAGTCTTACAAGGCACAAGTATTTTGAAAAGGTATCAGTTTAAAGAAAAATAAAAAGTGGTATATTGAACATTTCTATATTGATGTGGAACCCTAAAATTGTGTATCTTTTCAAGTTTTCTACACCCAGCCTATATATATCATTATACATCTCATTTCTCAAATCTACATTTGCTACAAAAAAAAAATAAGTACAAATAAATAAACACAGCCCCTCAAACCAAAAACAACACAAAAATCAATCATGAGAAACATTGCACTTAGGTTTACATTAGAGGAAGGTAGGCCCCACCATGGCCTTTCCTCAACACAAGGGGCCCACCATTATCCGGAACCCGATCCAATGCTTTCAAACACCCATCAATGACATCACTAAACCCGGTGGCAACCGTGGCCAGCTGTAACCTCAACCTCAAATCCCTAGTCCTCTTCAACAAACACCTAAACGACCTCTCCAAATACTTGGCCCACTCAGCCGGCAACCCGCCACCTGTCAACCAAACCGAAAACTGCGACTGGTCCCCACGCGCCGCCACCTCCGCCCTATAAAACCTGGCGATCTCCACCAGCATGGTGGGGTGGAGCGGCAACACCGCCACAAACTCCGCCACAAACTGTTCGGTCAACTCCGGTTTCAACATCTGGTTCCAGAGCACGAGGGCCCACTCGCCGGGCTGGTTGAGGTTGTAGGCTTCCGCCACAATTAATGCTTCCTGGAAGCGGGACTGGTCCACCAAGGCGCGGCGGGCTTTGGTGGCGGAGAGCGACAGCCATTGGAAGTCTGGCATGCGGATTTGGAGGGAAACGAGTGATGCGCTGGCGCAGGCGGCGCGGGTTTTGTTTCCCGCGTCTATGGAGGAGTGGACTTGCGCGGCTTCGATGAAGTACCGCATGGATTCCAGAAGGTCTTCCGTGTGGTCTTTGTTGTAACGGAGGAACCACATTTGGTATGATTGTTCGGCTCGTGATTCCAGGAGTGATGCTGTTTCGTGCTTCATGTCAAAGTGATTGTACACCTGTGCATCGTTGAGTCAGACAGAGTAATTGTGGTATCAAACAGTCTGAATCTGTTAGTTTACCAGAGACATACCATAGCGAAAGAATCGAGATCTTTGGGGTTAAATTGCTTGAGTGATGTAAGGACGGCCATGCGGAAACCGCGAACGGCCTGGGCGGTTCCGGTGTGAGTGTCGGCTGCGGCGGAGTATTTTTGAAGAAGAAGTTCCAGCTGTCCGTTTTCGATAAGGATTCCAAGTATGAAATTAAGGGCATGGAAGTTTCCAACTCCGGTTATTAGGCGAGCCAAACATGCGAAGTCGCCTTCTGACACGTAAGCATCCACTCTTGTTGCTGCCAGGGCTACAAGAACATCAACACCATCCAGGCAAGCTGATGATTTGTAGAAATGGTGCGACAGAATTAGCAGCTCAACCTGAAAAATAAGTTATATAACATCTTAACTTCTCTCTCAGGCATTTCATCAAACACATAACATGAGTGTTTCTTTTCGACTTGATAAAAGTACCTCACAGGCATGTGGTATTTCCTGTCCTGTAATCACTAAACGCATCAAAGCATGACCAATTTCTGATTCTGAAGGACACAGCTCAGCCCATTTCAAAAAATCTGAAAATCTCCATAACAAAGGAGCAGGGCCTTCCTCTTTTTGAGAATCCATATATCCACCACGATGTGCAGCTAATAATCCCTGAATTGAAAAACAAAATAAACATCCACATATGCTAATCTTATATATAATAATAGTAAAAAAAGTGTACCTTCAAAAAGGATTCTGCAAGAATCTGAGCAATACTAGCAGCTGGCATGGAATGAGTTTGAATTAAAAGATGAGCTTCCTCGTAAGAATCTTGTGCTTTGAGAGAAAGAAGTTGTAGGAGTTCAATTGGATGTTTATCAAATGCCTCTGAAAATGTAACACCCAACACATTTGCAGCTTTTACAACAGAGACCAATCTTTTACATAACCCACGTCCTCTTCCATCTACAAAGAAGCCTGTCAAACTCTCCAATACCTAAAAATCATTTATATCAAAGCAAATCACATAACTGGGTCTGGGGCTAATCAACACACAAAGTATTTTTGCATCCATCAGCAGTCAAATAGCTTATTAACATGATCTTATTTTAGATAAGGATAAACACTATGAGCCAATACCTGAATAGGATCAATAAATTGATGGTGAGTTGGCAGATTATGTGACTGAATTACAGAACGCACATCATCATCCAACATGGAAATTGCTACTTTGTTTCCAGGAGTTGAGATCTCAGCAAGTTTCAAAGCTGCATCCACAAGAACAAATTCTGAAGGAAAATGTGAAGGAGATAGCTTATGTTGAAGCTGTCGAGCAGCTGTGATTTGTCCAAATTCCAACAAAGACAAAACCGCCCTTTCCAGCTCAGCGGGCCCAATACTTTCCTCCCATCTTGAAAAAGATAAATTTTCTTCTGTGTCCAAAGAAACCTCAGCAGCTTTTTCAACATCAACAAAAGCCTTTCTTGATGTCACAATGCCTTTAGCTCTACGTTTTGACTTATCTATGACCTGTGGACCACCCCTGTCATTTCTAGTCTTGATTGTGTTAATATGATTGTCCATTTTTGATACGATGCTTGCAGTATGGTCTACAATACTTGATCCCTTTCCATTTCCATATCCAGTTTCCCTACTTTGACTATTTAGGGTCAACTCTCCTTCAGTTTTGACCTCAGCTTCTGATTCTACTGCTAGAAGCCAGACTCTTGTTTCAAGTTCCCGAAGAAGATGCAATGGATAAACTCTGGAAAAATTACAACCAATATCATAAATCTTTGATTTAAATTACAAAAATTGGTAAAGATTTTGTAAAAAATGAGTGGACATACGGAGGAGTTTGAGTTATTGTCCCACTTAACCACTGGAGAGAAAGAAGCAACAATTCATGTAGTTCCTTTGGTGGAAGATCTTTGTCTACAGCTTCTGCATGTTTCAGGAAGAATAATCCAGCCTACAAACCAAAATACACCAAAAAAAACTTGTTTAAAAGTTATCTATATATCATTCCATTCCTTCAAGCCAACCAAACACGACACTGGAATGTAATGATCCATTCCATTCCATCATATCAAACAAACCATAAAAGTAACAGTTACCTGTAATGGAGGAAAAGAATATCTGAGAAAAAGCATCTGGCAGTGACCCCACAATGCAACCCTTTCCTCCGGAACATCCCAAAGAAACTCTTTCCACTCTGCCACCATTGATTCAGCCTATATAATACAAATTTACCTTTAGATACATACCATTAACTCTACATGTAAGATAGGGTTTTTTGGTCAAGTAGTCAACAATGCCTACCTGTGTTTCAGTGACATGGTGTACAGCTGACTTCCATGGCCCACCAGTTGCCTCCAACTGTTTTGTCCAATTACGCGCCTGTTCCCAGTGTCCATTTTCTTCTAGTGCAGTTAAAAGTGAAGCATCATCCAAAGTTTCATTCCCTAAATGTAACACATCATCTTTTCGTAACAAAGGCTCTGCTAAATTAATCTTCCAATACAGCCTCCGGTAGTGTGCCATGGCAGATCCCCCATCGCCAAAATCAGTAGCGGATAATAGTTGCAATAAGCATCTTTTTTCATAAGGTGATGGACATGTCATAAGCATGGAGTCAGAAGCTTTCTCAGCAATTGAACTCACCCATGAAGTGTTCATACACCCGTCTCTTTGCATGTTCAAATGCTCTTCTTTGATTCTTGCTGAAAAGGATCCTAGATGAACAGAAGCTTCTGATAGACGCATCTGAGAGAATGCCTGAACACCAGATATGGTTAATTTTTTACAATTCAACAACATTTAGGTTAAAGTTGTATTAAAAACCTGAAGAGCACGGATGAAGGGAAGTAGGGCACATGAAGGGAGAAACATTTCAAAAGCTCTTAGCAAAGGAAGAAAGAGACGTTGCTCACAAAGCACTGCCACCATTTTAGATAAAGAATCGAGTACTTTATCAGATTCGGTTGAAACTTTATTTTCATCAGCCATTTCTTTGTTTTCGCCTCCAAAAATAATTCCTTGATCAAGAAATATGCTACTGGAAGCAGTAGATACATCAGAATCCTTTGAAGTTAATGTGTCAACCGGAATGGAATCCATAAGCCGCCTTCGTTTGGGATTCCGGCGGTTGTAATGAAGTGTTTGGGCTCTAGCAGTTACTGGTAAGAAATTGTTAGCCTCCACAGCTGCTGCAACATTTGTAGATATTTGGGAAGCAATGTCGTTCACTTTAATGGATGTTGTCTCCCTAAGAAGGAATGGAAAACCACCGATATACAATTATCCAACATAAGGGTTGTTTCTTCTTTTTCCTATTAACTTCTGTATATATTTTAAATATATATATATTTATTTTACTAACCTTGCTGCTGTAATCTCTAGCCAAACAGTGAGGCAGCATAAAGGAGAGACATCTGGAAAACATGAAGCAACCATTGCTAAAACTGACCAGCACAAATCTTTTGCTTTTAACAAGAGAGTCTCTCCAGGGTTTTTCTGCTTCTCACAATCAGCTATTATACCAAAAAGTTCAACAGGAATGTAATTGTTAATGTTATCATCCAGGAAGGAAGAAGATTCATTCTTTTTGTTCGGGTTATTGAAGTTTGAAGATGAAGGGGAGTTTTTCTTTGACTGCATTCCTTTAAGAACTGTTGAAATGTGAACCTTTAAACATGGATCACTGAACTCCTTTGAAGCCTGTAAATGTAATAGAAATATATAATAATGAAATGTATTAAAACAAGGACAAATTTATAGCAAGGGACAAAAAGTGTACCACTTGGAATACGGTGTCAAAAGGTTGCCCTTCGATCTGAGCCTCTGACAAAAACCCAACCCAGTCATTGTCTTTAGCTAACACAGTAAGATATTTAGTGCTGATGGATATCTGATGCATTCTACAAAATTCAGTAACTAAACTCCAGTGTTGACTTGCAGCTTTCTGTTGTGATCTCAATTCTGTTCCATCACCATTTCCAGTCATTAGCCAAGATCCACATGTATCTCCAGTAGTATCCATTGATGGAAGACTTGCTTTTTCCAAATTCTGAAGGACAATCACAAGTGCTCGAGTGGCTTGTTTTTGTTTACTATTATTATCTTTTTCCTTGACAACGCCACTGCCAGTGTTGTAATTTTTCAAATAGTATTCAGCCAATGCTCGGGCAAGAGATCCACTAATATCGCCTTCAAGATTTTGATCAATAGATTTAAAGAAGGAAGATATCCGCCTGAGGGCAGAAATGTCCACTTGAAGCATAGTAGGAGATATGCCACAAAGCTCCAAAAGAAAAGCACAGGAAGCCACTAATACGGAATCCTCAAAATGCATGACTGCAAGGGGCATAACCTAGACGCATACAAACATGAGAGTGTGAGACATTAGGTTAGGGTAGTGTAAAAAGAGTATCTATGATTGATCTTACAGATGAAAGAAGAGATTCTTCCTCTTGTGTTATTGGAGAAAGTAGAGTGTGGACATCAGATTGAATATTTGATTGCCCGTTTACATCTGACTGCATTCTGCGTGTCTCAAATTCCAATTTCAGTTTTTTTAGTCTTAAAGAAAGGAGATGTATAAAAGCCGCCAAGGGGCGTCCACGGTGTAGGTGATGCTCATGTCCAAGTCTTGATCCCTAAAACCATTCCATTGGAAAGGGTAAAAGGGTAAATACGAGAAAATGCCACTAACTGATTAAATATGAAAAATGTCATGTCAACGACCTCTGCTGAAGGCCCATATAGTTCCTCTACATGCCTATGGATAGCAGCTTCCCAAGACAATGTGCTGATCTTTGATTGTTCATTACCATTATCTTCATAATCAATATCTCTAAGAAGATAAGATTCTTCCACTTGTAACCCCGGTACAGATTGCCCACCAAGAGGACCCTGCAAAAAACTTATTCTTTCTTATGATTTTCCTACCTGACCAAAAAAGACTCCACTTTCTTTCTTTTTGCAAAAAAAAAGGTCACATTTTTTTCACAAAAGCCACTGACAAAAAAAGGTGCCTGTTTTGGAAAAGAGTAAGGGCTTTTTAATTTTAACAATAACCCTTCAAAATCAAAATAAATGCAATCAAATATAACCTGCACATAAAGCTGAACAAGTCTGCGGACAGCCTTAGAGAACCATCCAGGGAGCATTTGTTCAAGTGAAGTATCATGTCCAGCAGAGTAAAAGATATTGTCACGCCAATTAAGATAGTCTGATAAAGCAGAATTTCTGAATGCTGTATTTTAAAAAAAAAAAAAACAATCAATCATGTCAAAAATTAACACATTCTAATAAATAAATAAACAAATAAATAAATAATAAAGCTTGCCTTTTGATCTGGAGGTAAAATAGTTGGAAGTAGGATCTTGTCCGAAACACACTGCAACTAACGTGCGCCATAGTGTAGGAAATCGTTGCATGGCTGGCCTTAGATTTTCTAAAGTACATTGAGCTGAAGAGCTGCGGTTTCTATTTACACTACCAGTGCTTAAACAGTCTTGAATAGGAAGAGGTGCGTATATCAATGTTGCTATTGCTGCCATTTCTCCTGCTCCTTCAGCAATGTCATCAACTGTATGAATTATATCCTCCTCTATTTCCAGATTCCCAGGACGTGATGCAATTGACCTAGCATTTGAGAATGATGCCTCGTATTCGTTCCCTTTAACCCTTGATAACACCAACCATTTTGCCCATTGACAATCTCCCTGTGAATCATTTCTCCCAAAATTAAATTAAGAATTGCTTCATAAACTTAAAGTTAGGGTGAATTACATTGCAGTCTAACCACTAATACTTTGTTTTTTCTGATCAAACCATAGAGATGATGTTTAAGACATGTTTCCAAACAGGTTTCACCGGTTAATTTGATTATGTGGCATTTTTTTAAAAGGGAAAAGAAAACGAAATGTCAATAATTATTATTAGGGAAAGTAATAAAAACACCATTACATTGTGAGCAGATGTTCACTTTAATTTAACCACTAATACTTTATTTTTTCCAAATTAACCATTTGAACCATCTATGTTATATCATGTTTCACCAGTACTTTTGGCTTTTGCTTATGTGGTATTTTCAAAAAAATAAAATAAAGAAATTAACATGTCAGTTAATAATAGGGCAACATATGAATTTAAAAAAAAAAAAAAAACATATTGGGCAGTTCTGCAGTTTAACTACTAATACCACTCAAAATATAATGGTTTGATTGGAAAAAAAAAATTAAAATCAAGTATCTGTTATACCGCAAAACTGCTGAATATACAATGTTTTTTCTGTAATTTACCCTAATAGAAATTGACATGTCATTTTCTTTTCTTTTTTAAATGCCACATAAGCAAAATTACAGGTGAAACCTGATATAACAACAGGTCAAATGGTTAATTTAATTTAATGTCTGGAGCTTCCATGGTTTGAATGAAAAAAAATAAAATATGTTAAACAGTTAATAACACATGGCATGCCATTTTCACTTTTTATAAAAATGACACATAAGCAAAATCACCAGTGAAACCTAATATAAAAGGTCAAAATAGAACTTTCATGGTTTGATTGGGAAAAAAAAAGTATTAGTGGTTAAACCGCAAAACTGTCCAAAACATAGTGGTTCTCTGTAGTCTGGTCATACAAGTACAAGTCAATTAATGTTGATGAGAAATGCATAAATAAAGAAAAACAAAAAATTAATGAGAACTTACAGCAGCTTCTAGCAAGGCAGAAAGAAGTTCACGATCTGTACCCAACTTATGGTGATCAAGGTAAAGATCAAGTAGGTGTGGCAAGTTATGTTGAATACAATGGTGCAGAAAAAGCTTATGAAGACCCTGGAAACAACCACCACTCATGTCTTTATCAATATTTGGGAAATAAAGATCTGTCGAATCTCCTCCTGTTGACTGGTCAACAGAAGCTGCATCACTGGAATTTGTGACAAAGTTTGACTTTGCGAGAAGACATACAATTTCCTCAGTGCCATCCCAGAATTCTTTAAGAAATATGAATTTTTTAGCAAGATGTGATTCCACAAGTGATTTTAGCCACATGGAGGATGTATTAATCGATGGGAACCTTAGTATTTTTATATCTTGGACATCCATGCACACAGCATCTAAGTCTTGTATAGAATATATGTAGTTTCCATAATCATTGAAATCGGTTTTGGCTTCAGTAGAAGCACTTGGTAAACCATCTAAACTGATTCGAAGGTTTCCATGTTGTGATGAGTATGATGGAATTATGTCAATGAGTCTAGAAGCTTCCTCCCAATTACTGTGACTTATGTGGTACTCAAATTGTGACTCCCATGATACATCAAAATCAACAAGAGAAAGCCTGTCTAACACTATCTGCACAATGACAAACAAAACATATAAATTACTTTTTAGTTTTTTTCAAGCATGTTTGAAAAATAAGATATAAACAAACTTACACGATCTATGGTTCTCTGATCCCAAGCATCAGACCAGACTGCAGCAGAAGCCCAATAACAAGCATGAGTGTCATCATCATCAACCACAGGAATCTCTGAATATTTGCTCACATCTCTCCATAAACCTAAAACAGCTCCATCAACTTCCCCACATTCAATAGTAAGGTTGTTAGATAGTATATGCAACACAGGCAGCTTGATGTCTTCTGGTGAATTGACAATTAAGTCCTTTTGCCGGGAAAGAAATGTTGTGTGAAAACTACTGCATGAGTAGACCCTCTATCACAAAGCAATAAGTTGCAGGATCAGAATCAATAGCAACTGTTGATAATAGGATTGAGAAAACACATGTACCTCAACAAATGATAACCCTTCCAATATCTTTGACTCGTATGGTCCAAAATACCCCTGACTTCTCATCACTTCAGTTATTTGGTTTCGAAGAGATCTCCTAACAGTGCCAAAAACCAGATGCCTTAGGCAACTTTCCACATCCTCTCCTAGTTTTTGCAGTGTGGCTACACCAACTTCAGTTTCACCCTGTTCATCATAATAGGCAGAAAATAAGTATAATGGCATTAGAGTGAGGGGCTGTTTCTTTTAACTTAATGAAGTGCTTAATCTGGACAGTGATACATGGCTGTTTTTTTTTTTTTTCTTGATTTATATTTATTAGAATGTGTTAAGAGCAACCGTATACCTTTAGAAACAGATCATAAGCAATAGCCCTTCCAATATCACGGACTTTCTCAAAAGTATTGTGAGGCTCATTGTTACCATCCATACCTTCTTGATTATGAAGATGCAATTTAAGAACTGCTAATGGAAGACGCCCAGAAAGTAAAGCATCTTTCACAACATTTTTTTGGTCTAAATGTTCCCAACGTGCAATCATATCCTTAGGATTTTCAAATGGAATAGCTCTTGTTTCTACTTGAGAAACAGATCTCTCCAGCTCTGAATAGAATCTAGAGTCAACTGAGTCAACCGACATCAAACCATTGGTTGTTTCCTGCTCATTTGTTGTTTCCATTGAAGAAACATGTGTGGAATCATCCTGTGATAACTCTGAATCCATAAATTCCAATGGCTTCAAACTCTCCCCCTGTTACATAACACACAACACATACGCAATTTAATTACTCATACAAATATATAAAAGCCAGCTATTGCAAATTTGAATGAATTGAATTTTAATAAAACTAACCATTCGTGTAACAGATTTTTTAAATTTGGTAGCAAGAAGACGTTGCATGTTTCGTATGATTTCCAGCAAACGGGCCATTTCCTCGAGTCTTTTTGAATTTTCAGTTTCATTATGTTCTTTATCTGCTAAAAGCAAAGGAAGAGAACTTTCCATGTCTGTAAATGATCCATTTCCATTTTCAATATGTTGCAATGATCCATATCTACGTATCATTTTTGTAGAGAAATGGGTGCCCAATGAAAGAAGCCTGAATCATAAACATATATTCTATAAGAAAATACACCATATAAAAAAATATAAGATGCATAACAAGAATCATACCTTGATGCAGATGATACATCATTATCATTTCCACCTTTATTCAATGACAAATAAACAGCAGCAAAGACCAATCTCAGGACCCCTTCTTCTGCCAAATTAACACCAGCAAGCATCTCTAACGAACTAATTATCCATTAAAAAAAAAACATGAGATAATGTCCTATTTGGTTATGTATCAATCAAACTAAAGTTTATAAATAATAAATCTTACATCTCAATCTCCTGAAAGTTCAAGTAATCCAGTGCCAGTTGCAACCGACGAATCCGGGGAACCTTCAGGTCCCAACCTACAGATAGATATCAACATTAAACATTAACAAGGAAAAACAAATTTTTAATCATATGTTTATCTTAATTCCACTTAGAATTATAAAAAAAAAAAAAAAAAAAAAATTACCGTTTTCCAAGCATAAATGATCTGCTTCTTCATATCCTTCATACAAAAGAACTCTATCTAAAACCTCAATTTTCCAAGTTGGCCATGGCTGCTTCAATCCTTTTATTTCAATTAGGTTTACAGTTTGATCCATAGAGCAGATATTATTCTGTCGGTATCCAATAGCTTCAACAGGAATACAACCAGAAGCTAATTCCAATGAAATAGAGGGTAGAATTACAGAAATACCCTCCGATGTGACCAGATAAAAACATCCATGAAACACACATCCAACTGCATCTCCTACAGTGACTTCCTCTTCCTGACCACCATCATTCATAATCATAGCCGAGTCTACATGGTAGTTGAAATGGACAACTGTACTATATTTTTTACTAAGCCTGGTGATTCCAAATGGGGAAAGACATATAATATCATCTTTTCTATATTTATCTGTTGGAAGAAATACACTTCTCAAAGTAGGTAATAACTCTTTACTTCCCATTTTGTCCTTGGAAAAGCTTCTCTGGTGGCTGATATCAGCACCACCAACCTCCCACCCAACCAAAGTCTGGTGCCTTAATTGTTGGAACTGTGGAAGAGACTTCTCAACTGAGTTATTTATGCCTGGAATATGGTCACTACCACGAACTACATAAACAATACCATGCTCATCAACTGCAGCCATCAGTGATGTATGTGAAGCAACAAGAAGAGTCCTAAACACGGTTTGACCAATAAAATTACTACTAGTTTGACTTTGACCAGTAGATACTGTACAAGACCTACTTTCACTTTCACCTCCATTATATATCTCTAGCAGATTGACAGATCCTATGTATTCACCAGTTATATCACCAAAAAAGAATATTACACCAGCAGAATTAAGGCATATAAGATATCTATCAGAAAATTTGAAGTCCACCCATTGATCCACAGGAACTTTATATACATCCTCATCAAGCTTCACTGAGCAAACCCACTGTATGCCCCAGCTGACTATCCTACCAACAACAACTACTTTTTTTCTTTGTTTCCTTTCAGATTCATCATTGGTGTTCACAGGAGAAAAGATTAAGGAAAACCCAATCAGGTCATGTGAATTATTAACAAACACGCTACAGCATTCGTATGAAATGTTGTTCAAATCATCTCCATGAAATAGGTCTCTCAGAAGTGTAGAATCGTTCTCAAAAATGTTGAAGGAAACAACTGTAGTGGAAGATGGGAATTGAGACTTATCTGGGAATCTACTACAAAGCTTGCCTTCGGATTTGACTGTTTTGGCTTTAGTAAGGAAAGTTCTCAACCATCTCCTTTGTTCATCATCATTTTCCGGTTTATTTATATGCATTGCATCATTAGATGGGCCCCATTCAACCCATTCTCCACTATTTACATCTGGCATAGGCTCAAGGGATTCACTGCACTCAATGGATTGACAAAATGCATGAGCAGTCAACCCATGATCTCCAACCACAAAGAGAAGTTCTCTAAATAAACCCCCCTCATGTTGACTATTTGAATCTTCACATATACCCCAAGCAAGTGAATTTATATCAGAAAGCATGGGATAGCTTACAATACTACTTACAGCTTCACCTGCAAGGAAGATTCGTATAAATAAATCACATCTTAAAATCAACATAAGCCAGGTTCGATCATAGGATAAGTAATTAAGATTGTTAGATTGGATGTTCACCTTTGACTAGAGGAAGAAGTAACCCTTCATGGTGATATGAAAGCAATACTATAAGTTCCCTGGTTGGGGAAAGGAAAGCTTCACAGAACTCTGACAGGTTTGCTTGCAATTGAGAAGATTCCCATTTTTGCAATTGCACAATGGCAGGGCCCTCTTCACCAGAGCTATAAGTCATGTCGCTTCTACTACATAAGCAAAGAATATAAATCAAATTAAACAAAGAAGTGGATGTAATCAGGTGTTTACATTTTCTTATAAATCATATACAGGATGCAAGAAACATGCAGTAGAACTTGATGTGGTTAAATCTGGAAATTATATGAGGTTTGCGTTTTCTGTAAGGTTGGTATTATTTCTTTGTTATATTCGTTATATAAATCCAACATATACTGTGCATTAATATACTCTCATAAATTGTACAAATGAAACTATCGAACTGATAAGCTATAGTCTCAGGGTTGTTGAATACTCGACAGAAACCAAATCTAATGTTCTACTAAAATAGTAATTTAATTATTTGCATAAGTTTAAACTTCTAAGAAATTTGACAAGGAGAAGAGTTATGGTGATGAGTTTGCTATTATATCCTTTTCATTTACATATTTGGGATTCACTAGGTTTAATTTTAAATCATCTGCATGCATCTATTTTTTAGTATAGCAACACACAGATGCAACATCCTAGATATCATACGTAACTTGGGGATGTGTTAAAGATTTGTTAGTTTCTTTCATTTCCACTAGTTCTGCTATATTTAGGAGTTGGGACCTTGTAATATTCTATCTATTCTTAGACTTGTATAAATTGTGTTAAACCAGAAGTCGTTAGAGCAGCATTCATAAATCTGCACAATTGTTGTTTGGGGACAAAACCAACAAAAGGATATGCAAACAGTTCATATGGTTCCCAGATATTGTAGGATTCATCACTGATCAAACATATGACAAAATTCACTCTTTTCCTAGCAATGAAATATGTTATTGCACACACTCAAAGCCATCAAATGTGAGGCGTACAAGTAGTCACTAGTGAAGTAGAATGCATTATACATGATTACCAACTAAAACAATACTTAATAAGACACTAATATACATAGAAAATATGAGTATAAGATATAACTAGCAAATATTGATGATCTAAAATAAGTGCAGTACACTAGTAGTGTAGATGATATCAGATTAACAATAGATTTATTTCTAAAGGAGGAAAAAGGGAAGAAACAGAACCAGCATTATTGTTTCATCAATAACTCTTTAGTCTTTACTCTAGTGAAATTACAGTAATGAAAGAAACAGGAAAAAATTTCATCACATATGAGAGAAACCTTAAGAAAATAAGAAGGAATAAATGATCATCAGTCACGTATGAAGGAATTGCATATGCTTATGTACAATGGCTGTTACACCAGATGACAATGGTGGTGATCAGAGCTAGGGATGACTGTGAAGGTGAGGGTGGTCGGAGGTTAAACATAGAATATCAACTAAAAGAAATCTTGTAAACAGATGCCATAAGCCCATAACCTTAAAATGCTTGAAAAAAGCATGTAGGTTAAACAGAAAGAATTGAAGAGAAAAAATTATGATTTAGGATTCAAATTATGATTTAGGATTCAAAGTTGCAGAAATGAATATCATCAAAATCTCAGTCTATTATTGAGTTGGATTTTAATTAACAGTATTCAAATCTGTATGATTGTAAGCACCATACCACTTTGTTTGTTCAAATAAAGAAATATTGGAACTAATAACTTCAATTCATCTTAACAGTCTTGATCTGTATAAGTTTCAAGCAATTAATTACTGGAAATTGTGTCTTTGCTTATGAAGAGGCAGTAAAACCAGTAAGAGCCCAACTAATTTGGTCAGGTCATGCCGATTTCATTACCAGTTCTAACAGGAATTTCATCCAACAGCTTATAATGCAAAAAAGCACTTTGAGAAGTAGGTAAACCAATTATAAATCTAAATATCATAACTGTAGCATGAGAATTGACATTTCAGATTAAAGATGAACTCTCAATTAAACTGAGATTAAGCAAATAGCAAGAATGAAAAATCAGATTAAGCAAATCGGAGTTCCTAAATCGGCAAGAAGCAACATAAAAGTAATAAACTGTTATTATGGTGTGTGTACTGTGTAGGATTGGAGATGCACGTCGTTAGTCTAAAGATACACCAAGATGGAGATGTTGCAGACGAAACTCACCTGCGCTGTGATGCCGATTGCCGAGACAAAATCCCTAAGAGAAACGACACTCACTTCACTTCGTTGATTCAATAGAGCTTCATCGCTTATGGTTCGATCTTCGTCTCTTCGATGAGAAGGAAAAGCTGAGAGTCACGTCGTATAGCAAACAAAAGGGGGATTAGAGGGTTGGGTTTGGTTTTTTTTTTTATTTTTTTAAGGGGGTGTTACGCTAAAAAGGTCATTTTTTAACTTATTACCGATTATTACACCGGGATAAATCAAAATTCATAAGTAAAACCATCCTAATTTATCCAGTGAGTTATAAACTATAAATTGAAAAGTGTTTATCATTTTTTATAAACTTATCCAAACATCTTTATATAGGATATTCAATATCAAATATCAAATATTAAAAAAATGTATATTATGGGTGGGTTTGGTTTTTAATAGGTTGGTTTCTGAAGTACTAACCGTAATCGAAACTAATTTTTTGGTTCTTGAAATTGAAGCCGAAAATTGATGGTTTGGTTTTTAGGTTTCAATTTTTTGGTTTTGTTTACCTTTAGTTTTTACCTATAAGCACAACATAAAATAAATACGTAAAAAAATAGGTGAAAGTAAAAAAAATTATGAGAACCTGAAAATATATTTTAGGATCATAGTAATAACATATTATATGAAACGTTTAAAATACATAAATAATATTTTATGTAAAAAAACATATAAATTGTTTATATATATATTTCACAATGCATAAATATATTTTTTATTAAAAAAAATTATTGTAAAAATATGTTTTTTTTTGTATTTTTTATTATTTACGTTTTTACTAAATTAGTTTTTGGAAATATAAACTAAGTTTGTCTTTAGTTTAACAACTTGTTCTCAATGTCAACTTAACTAATGAAAATTTTTTTGATGGAAGTGAAAAGAAAATCAAAAAAATATATATTTCTGGTTTCATTAAAAAAACAAAATGAAAGGAAACAAAATTATCATTTTCTCTAATAAATTTTCTTCCAATTTGGAATGATTTAAACAAAATGTTTAATTTTTCTTTTATTTCTCTTTAATTCCGGAATACAAAATAGAAATTTATTATTTTTTTTCTCTTCTTACTTTTATTTTTATTATTATTTTTTTTAAACTGGAGAGTTGGTTGATGAGGGGAAGGGAATGAGATCCTAGGTTCGAATCCCCCTCCCTTGATTTTCTTATATTTTATTTGTTTTCAGATATATCAAAAAAAAAAAAAAAAAGTCACAATACGAATTCAGTCCAGGTATATACCTGAAAATACCAAAATATCCTGGTATGTTAGACACGTGTTATGACTAACGGCTGAAAATGTGAGTTAAAATAACCTTCCATGCAAGTTTTCAACCCTGAAAAGATAACTTTCGTAAAAAAATAAATAAATAAAGACTGATTTTATGGCCTATAATAAAAAAGTATAGAGACGATTCATGTTTGTCTTTATATATTATTAGCCAAATTTTTTTCTTTTAATTGGAGTGGAAGATTTTTACTAGGAGGAGGTAGGAACACGTGAGAGCATAGAAGGGTAGTGGGGACACGAGGAAACTCACAAGGATAAAACACACGTGGAAACCACCGTGCACCTCTTTCTTAACATGCGCGTCCTTCCTTAATTTCCTTTTTCCTCATAATTTCCACCTCCAAAAGACCAAACTCACTCCCACAAATCTCCTCCCATCCCTTCCAATCGCCAAACCCTAGCTCGCCATCGCCCACCATCAATTTCATCGACCTTTCTTTAGGTATTTTCGCAATTCTCTGTCTTTTTGTTCATTTACACTCTTGTACTCTGTTTTTTTAATCCGATTATCTTCCTTCGTTGTTGTAATTGACTCGGGTTTCGTCTTGCTGTAATTCCTGATCTTTTGATGGTGATTCGATTTGGTATCAGTCAATAACGAAATTAGGCTAAATAACAATCTCTATGAATTGGGTATGTTTCCGTGAACTGATGAATTGGTTTGAAAATCGTCAAGTGTTTGTTTTACTGAACTGATATATAAATTATTTCCTGTTTCTTCTAATCGTCTTACAATTCTTGAAGGGTGAGAAGTTTATTTTGTTGGTTATATGCTCAATTCAGCTGCCGATTTTCTGTAATTTAGTTCTATGAAACACCCTTTTCAGTCTGTTCTTTTTCTTTGTGGGAAGCTGATATGAGTTCTTAATTTCGGTGTGATTTTGCTTATAATTGTCATTAAATGATTCTTTTATGTCATAACTGTCGGTCATTCAAGGCTTTGATACGACCTTATCACCACCTGATAAGTTTATTTAATATGGTACAGGAGGCTTTAATTGGAGGTTATCTGATCAATAAAGCCTCCATTTTTATTATATGATCAGTGTCTTCATGTAATTCCTTTAATGGATCGATGCGACACATCAGGATTTGTTAGCAGCGGTTCAAAGTGTTGATTGAAGAAAGTCCAATGGCTGACACCCCTTCATATTTTCCTTCCAATTCACCTTCAAACGCATGCAAATGTATTAAAAAAGTCGTTAATGGCGGAATTAATTTCCCCTCAAGCTTTTACTCACTGGACTCCACACAAAGCAAAATAAAACGTAGCTTCATTGACGGGTGTTTGGATTTGCAAGATGCGTCTTCCTTGTCTCTTGGATTGGGTTGCTCTACAACCTCCGGTCTCACCATGTTTTCCGGCAAAGAAACTGAAGAAAATTCTTCCGGCAATCTTGATCTTACAATGAACCTCAACACACAGAACGTTGACCAAGTCAAACCATCAAGGATTGAAAGAACCGAAGTTGATCTTGAATTAAGTCTCGCAGGTGGCTCAATTGAATCTGATGTAACCGCTGTTAGTCAACCATCTTTTCCGTTCATGAATAATACTGGCAGCACCATGACCTCTGCCGGAGTTCAACTTGTTGATGAAGGCTCCACGTCATCCAGATGGAAATTACCCCTTTTGCCCCCGTTTCTTACTAAAGACCCTACACCTCTTCTTCACAATATTCAAGGGTATAACGGTCCAAATTTAGTTATTCATACCGCATCACCTTCATTAGATTCTGTATTACCCCAACAACAAAATCGACGTACAGGTAACGTGAAAGACTGCCGGTTCACCGGATGCACACGTGGCGCAAGAGGAGCTTCCGGATTCTGCATCTCCCATGGTGGCGGCAGGCGGTGCCAGCGAGGCGGCTGTCAAAAAGGAGCCGAAGGTAAAACAGTGTTCTGTAAAGCCCACGGCGGTGGTCGCCGGTGCGAGTTTCTCGGCTGCACCAAAAGCGCTGAAGGCCGTACAGACTACTGTATCGGCCACGGTGGCGGCAGGCGGTGCAGCCACGAGGGCTGCACCCATGCCGCCAGGGGAAAATCAGGGTTATGTATACGCCATGGTGGCGGGAAGCGGTGTAAAGCGGAAGGGTGTACGAAAAGCGCCGAGGGTGTTACCGGTCTCTGCATCTCCCATGGTGGTGGCCGGAGGTGCCACTTTCCGGCATGCACGAAAGGTGCTCAGGGGAGCACGATGTTTTGTAAAGCTCATGGTGGTGGGAAGCGGTGTACTTTTTTAGGGTGTACGAAAGGGGCGGAAGGTAGTACGAATTTTTGTAAAGGCCATGGTGGTGGGAAGCGGTGCACGTTTGAAGGCGGTTGTACGAAGAGTGTCCATGGTGGGACTCTATTCTGTGTGAATCATGGTGGTGGAAAGCGGTGCGCGGTGGCCGAGTGTACAAAAAGTGCTAGAGGCCGGACTAGTTTTTGTGTTCGTCATGGTGGTGGCAAAAGATGTAAATATGAGGGGTGTGGGAAGAGCGCGCAAGGCCGAACGGATTTCTGTAAGGCACATGGCGGTGGAAGGCGGTGCTCGTGGGGCCAACCGGAACAATCCGGTGGTCAAACCTCAACTCCTTGTGACAAGTTTGCTAGAGGGAAAACCGGTCTTTGTGCTTCACATAGTCAGTTGGTTCAAGATGACCGGATTCCTGGACTCATGGTGGACCAACCTCAACCGCTTATGGCGGAATACGGTGGCTACGTGCTACCAGAAGGCAGGGTTCATGGCGGCAGTTTGATGGCTATGCTTAGAGGATGCACCGGTGGCCAGTCGGAACAGGGGGGAAGTCAGCCTATAAATGGTGGTAGGTGGTAGGTGGGTGTAAAGTGAAACTTGTGAAGTCTCTTCCATTTGGTTTGGTTGTAATGTGTTGTTGAACATAAGGTTAGAGTGATGTATATAGGTTAGTGTTAGATATTGGTTGTGGTTCATGTGTATTTGGTGTAAACATAGTTGGTTATGTTTGGTAGGTTTGTTCCTGTTAAAAATTTGAAGTTCATAATATATTCATCATTTGGAATTGGAATTGGAATTGGAAAAAGTTATTTTTTTATCTTAAAGTGATGGCATCTGGTAAAATATAGATGATGATAAACTGGATACTAAATGTAAAATGATATAAGAGATGAACTATATTTTGGAAAACTTGTGGAGGAGTATTAATGTCTTGATATTTTTAAAAGGTTCGTTTATAAATTACTTTAGTTGTATTACCAACCCTTCTATTGCAATAAACTCAAAACATAAAATAGTTTATGTACGTCAAATATAATCTTAAGGTGATAGCATAGTTGATTTTTTGATAGTAGAATTGCAAACAAGTCTAAGGTTCGATTCAAGCTTTTTTTATGCGAGTTATAATTCCGTTCATTATGTTGGTCGTTGTATACCTGTTATGAAGTTGTTTTATATTAAAATAAAATACGCAAATATATAGTCAAAATTAATAGCAAACAAGGATGTAAATTGTGAATAGTATTGGTATGGGCTTCTTGACAAAGTTTGGCGTGATAAACTCCCTTCGTCAATGACTAGAACTAGTCTAGATTTAGAAAGAATAAAACCCATGGTAGTTGAACTTGAAGCCCATAAAGCCACATTCTCTATTTGGTTCATGCTTTGCTTGCAAATAAGTAAGACTACACGGTGTGGGTGCGGTCCAAGACCGCACTTCGTGCCGCATAGGACGGGAACACCATTCCCAGACCGCTGTCTGGTGCGGTCTTGGCCGCAGTGCAGTCCTCCAAAACCGTGTGTTTTGATTGGTTGAGGAAGGACTGATCTGTTGAGAATTTAAATTTTTTTTTTCTTTTTGCTTTTTCTTTCCTATATATACATACCAACTTAATTTTTTTTCACTACACAATCTCCTCTCTCAAAAAAAAAAATTAAATTAAATTAAATCACCACTCTCTCAAAAAAAAATTCCGTAGTTTGCTTTAGTTATTTTATTTGTATTTTTTAAGTTTCTAGGATTATTTAAATGTCATGTGTGTGAGTTTTTTTTTTTTAGTAACGCAATGTACTGTTTTTTTTAATTTTCAAGTAATGAAAAATTATGTTTTTTTTATTAAAATAGAAGTTATATTATATTAAAATAGTTAAAAAAAAAGTTTTATTAAATAAAATACTTAAAAAAAAAAAAAAAAAGTGTGGCACCACACCCTTGGTGTGACAAGAAACCACACTTGAGTGGTAAAAAGTGACATGACGCTTATGTGGTGGGGGAGGGAGTGCGGTTTCGGTGGTATCACTCCCTCCAACCTAATAACTCCTAGTTGTTGTGCCTTGCATGGATGTTTGGACGTGTATTTGGAAAATGGAAACTAAATAAGTAAATAATCAGAAGCAGATAATCAACTATAACAACCAAAATGTTAATGTCACGGTAGCGAAGTGTATCATTTTTCTTCACTCTAGACTATTAATATGTTTTTTCCCATCTAGGACCTTAAACTTACTATTCTTGTTCGAAAACTAACAATATTACCAACTATAAGACCAAAGGTATGCATCCTACAGAAGACGCGTAAGGATGACATGGAGGGCATGTCTACGCATGAACACCACCCCCATGTCTTGTGGTGGTGGTGTGGAGTGGAGTCTGCTAGGACCATCAGATCAAGTGTTTAAAATTATATATATATATATATATATATATATATATATATATATATATAAATTTTAACTATAAATACTAAGAAACTATATACATATTTCTACACTACAACCACCAATTCTTTTTTTAAGAGCAGTTTACACACATCCACTATTATACTCTTAAATCTATATTGCTCATCTATCCGTGTGTTCATGAATATTTTACAATGCTCATCATTTCAACAAAATTACTTCTAACAACAAAAGCAATTTCAAGCAAACACTTACCCCCAACAATTTCAACAAAAAATCATCCTTCTTATTGTCAACATTCTCAAGTTCAACCTTCTCCGGCCTAACGATCTCAGACATAACCTTCCCACAACAGTGACGAATTGGTATCGAAATTGCAACCAAAACATTCAAGAAGAAAATAATAAAACAAAGACAACCAAAGGTACTACGAGTTGGAGCAAAGATGAGGAAGTGACATTAACACGAGTTTGGATATTTATATCTGAAGACCAACATAGCAGCAACCACCAATCCACGAAGACTTTTTGGAACCGTTTTTTAGCGAAATTCCATGCCAAAATATGAAATTGTGAATATCATACTTTCAAATGTATAAATGGAAAATGGCGCGAGTTAAGAGCTAGCTGCATCAACTTTAACGATATGTTTACCTATCTTACAAAAATGCATAAAAGTGGATCCAACAAATTTAACATTTTAGTTATCTCGCTTCAACAATATTAGGTACCCATAGTGATAAAACATTTGATCATCAAAAAGCATGGCTAGTTATGCGAGAAGGTCCAAAATGGATGCTTAATTCGGAACGTCTTTTTTGCAATCCACTGGCTCCAACAAACTAAATCAAACAACTACACAAATATGTTGCATGCAGGTACACGAATCGAACTCAACGATGACATCGACAAGGATCCACCATAAGTCACCCTTCAACTACCGGTTGGAAGGGACAAAGAAAAACGGGCCCGGTGATGAGCAAGAGCAAACTGGGCATAGGAACAGGGTCCATTTTTTGATGGGGCCCAATTTTTTTTATATATTATATTGAAATCAGGCCTAATGTCCAAGTCAACATCGTTGACCAGCAAGAAAACGTGAGACGCACTGAGAATGCAAGAATCCAAGCACGCATCGCAAGCCAAGAACGTGATAGAACAAGAGCGATTTTCGATTGATCATCATCAATTCAACATTCAGCGGCTTTATCAGGATTCGGGTAAGGGTTTTAGTAATTGATTGCTAATCACTCATGTAAGGGATATTGAATCAGAGTTAATGAATTAGGAACGAACGAATGTGTATCACTCATCAGAAAAGCCAGAAATGGGTAACCTCAAATTTGTTGGTTGGTATTTCTGCATAATTCAGATTTGACTTTTGGTTTATATTTTTTTTTTTCCGTTTTACAGTGAAACAAGAATGAATGTTTATGGCTATCTTGCAAAGCTTTTACTCAGAGTCTTTGGGTAATTCGTAATTCCTTTACAATAAAAAATCAAATTTTATGTTTATTAAAATTGGGAATCGATTGATTGTGTTCCCCTTGTTAGGTTAATTTTTTCAAATGCTTGGGTTGCACACGTTATTATCTATTGATTGACCCTTCACTTTCTTCATTCCTGAATGAGGTTTTTAGAAAGTTGGATGACATTTGGGGTAATTTTTTATTCCTATTCCATATGTGAGTGAAGAAACACATTAATGTTGTTAGGTTGACCAAATTATCCTTCCTTCACCAGGTCTTTTGGGCACTGTAACCTTTGCGTTTTTCTGCTTCTACCTTTGCTTGCAGTTATTGTTGGGGGCAATGATGCTTAGTCTCAGACTAGGGTTTATCACTATCCATCCAATGAAGTAAAATTACCTTTCTATCTATTTATTTTTTGTTTAATTGTGACTTGTGAATGAATATCAAGTAAAATAACCTTCTGTCCAGGTAGGGATGTACTCTTATGAACTCTTTCTTGTTCAATGTGACTCTCATTCTTCTTTGCTCCATCAGGTAGGATGAATCATTTTCTTTATTAATTATTAATATTTTTATAGTTTTTTAACATGTATATTAGAACATAGCGTAATGACTCATCCCATTTCATTATTCTATTCCATTATTTGTAATGGGTGCATTGTTGCTCTAAATAACTTATGATTTACACTTTCACATGAGAAAAACAAATTTCTAAAACTTATCATCGTCTTAAAATAACTTCAGTTTATATAATTCTATTCATCACACATAAGGGCCCAATGGCTTTTTTTTTGCGGCTCGTCCTGGGCATTTAAATCCTTAGGACCGGTCCTGATAAAAATGTATTCGTAGGAAATACCATGTAATCACTTTCGGAAAAGTTCAATGAACACATTCTCTTACTAAAGAAAAAAATTAAAAACTAAAACCGAAGCGAGACGGGAACAACAAATGTTTTTTCCTGATATGCAAATTTTGAACACAACATCCCAACCGGATCTTTCACCAGAAGACCTCCTAAGGTTTTTAAAGCTTAAACGGAAAATTCGAGAAAATATGATGATTAGTAATTTTTATTTACTTTTATTAAAGTATTTTTATTTTTAGATTAAGGTGGTGTTTAAGTTACGTGTAAAAATACTTTTATTAGTAGTTTTTTTTTATTAATGAAGTTTTTAGTAAGTTTTAGGAATTTTTTTATTTTATATAAAATGTTAATGATGAGTATTTCCCAAGGCTAACTGATGTACTCATAACAGTATAACACAAAAAGTTTCTCATCTCAACGGCACGTAAACATCACTTTCTAACCACTTACCGTAAGAATACCTAGCTACCACTCCACGACCCCAAATTCTCCTAACATTTTAATGTAAAAATAATATAAAAGAGAATAAGATAGAGAAAGAATGAAAGAAAATGGCGTTAAACCATATTACCAACTTAACCCACCTCCATTCCACATCAGAATAACATATGGGGGTGTTCACATGCTATAATACATGTCACAAAAGCTTAACACAATGTACATTAGGACATCTGTAATGCATTGAAATCTATAGAGTTCAATGCATTGTTATATCATCTTTCAACATTCTATACAATTCTAACAATTTTTTCCTAAAATGCATTAAACTCTACAAAGTTCAATATAAAATTACAAAAAGCTAATTTATAGTATTTATTTAAGAATTAGAGAACTTTTCTTTTT